ATAGACTATATAGTCTGGTGGTATAGCTAATCGTTTCTCCCTGATGGATATCCTGAGTGGAGCTTCTACAACCGCATCGTACAATTGAGGGGCTTGAGGAACTTCATCAGGAACTACCTCAACAATAAGATCCTAGACCTCAATAGGCTTTGTCTATGGTGTAGGAAACACCACAATCATTTGTATAGGTAGAGAAAAAGACATAGTGGTCCCCACCGTGCCGTTATTCTTAATAGTTTGTGCGTAGCTACCCTTTTCAACCACATTAAACTTCAGAAACTTCGCTATCTGTGATTCCACAATTCATGTTCCCTTCATTGGGATTATAAAACTGATACCCCTTCGAATAATTTGGGTAAGATACGGAGTAATACCAAGTAGTTCTTGAGTCCAACTTACTTAATGTTGGAAAGGTTTAGGACTCAGTTGGCAAAATTGAAATGTATAGAGCTGAATTAGCAAAAGTACAATAGGTTCAAGACTTTTTAGGCAATTTTCCCCTGCACTTCCTCCCCATTGTCGGGTCTTTGTGTCTCTCCATCGTCGAATTCAATTTGTTGCGGGGGCAGAGCCGGCATGTATACGTTGTTGTCGGGGAACTCACCGAACAAGACCTATATCAAACGCACGATGAAGTCCAGATTGAATTGGGATGATTGGACATAATAGTCATTACATTTTTTTCTCTTTTGCGATATTTAGAACTCGATTGAATCATTGTGAGGAGAATGGAAATAATTGAAGCGATTTAGAAGAGTAAGAGCATTTGGAAGCATACGTGAGTGAAGATTAAGATTCGATGAAAAATGAGAGAAGGGGCCTATTTATAGAGGTAAAAAAAAAATGGCCCGGTGATATGTAGTTTTATAGTTAGGGCCCAAAGGTCGACCATTGAGCCGAATTGGATCACTGGATCAGTGAACCACATGGACTCAACCATTGTCTTGTCGGAGTCGATCTATGTCAGAATTGAGAAATTTGATGAGGTTCAATGCAATTGCCAAAGTGGGTCTACTTCTAATGCTTCAAACAAAGCATTCTTGGTGGTTTCGGCCTTGATGCAAAATCTGTATGCGAGTGAACCTGGTGATTCAACCTGCCATGCCGAATCTACCGCATCCCTACCATTTGGATCTGACCTTCTGTGTTAAGGATGAGTGGGCAATGAAGGGAGGCAATTGCTAGAAGGTGAGGCATTGTTCATCGCGGGAAAAGCTTGCGCAATCGAGTTATTCACCTAATGTGTTGGCCCCGTGTGCAAGTGTCTGGGCAATTCTTGGCCTCGTGCTCGATCCTGATGTGTTCGGACCTGTGCTCGGCTTTGTATTTCGGAAGAGCTCAGGATTGTTTTTGGAACGAGAAATCTTGTATTGTTTGCTCCTCATAGACACCAACGCACAAATGCTTACGGGTCACAATACCTTTTCACTCGATTATTTCCGTCCCTTTGGATACATCACAATAAATTACAATCAAGAAACCTTCGAAATCACAAGCACCCGATTCGGAATAACCTCACAAGTTCAGAAACAAATGAAACAACTGACTCTGCGCGACATGGAAAAGTAGGCATGCATGGAGGAAGCCACTTCGCTTGCATTATCTCAGTTCACCACACTACACAGCTTCCTGATCTCTCCCTGTGCACCGGGGAGCAAGTCGAGCGAGCCCATCTTCACCATCGCCTCGGCAAACTTCGCTCTCCAAGCAGTGCCATTCACCACATTGTTCACGACCATCCAGGAAGTCGAGGGACTTGTGTACAGCGTCTCGTCGGAAGCCAACACGCCACGGAGCTTCAACTGCTGAAGGTAGTACTGGTTGTCCAAAGTGTCGGGCGTGATGCTATCAAGCGGCACCGTTGGGTCTGCTTTAGTCACATTGCTTGGGGGTGGGCATTTGGTCTTCAAGAAGGCGGCATACGCCGGATCCAATGAAGGATCTTGGGCAAGCGTGGCATTGAACGCGTAGAGCCGGGGCGAGAAGGACAAGCAGTGCGAGATGCCGATGGAGTGCGCTCCTGAGAGGGTCACCATCTCATCCGCCGATGGCCCTTTCCTGGCAAAATTAGTGATCAATTGTTGGGCGTTGAAGTTAGGTGGCGGGAGGTTTTGGGTCACTTGGGGGAGGCGAAAGACTCGGCCGTCGCGGTGGCTGGCAGGGACGTCGTAGTATATGCCTCCGGCTTTGTAGATGCTGTCGCGGGCCGCGAAGCGACAATGTCGGCACACGAGACCGTCTTGGGACACACAGCCTCGAGTCGGGCCTTGGCCTGGTCGATGATCTCGAAGCCTCTCAAGCAAGGGTTATTGACCGGATGGTCTCTCTCTGCCGGGTTTTGGGGAGTCCATTTCAAGAGCACCAAAGAATCGCAACCATAATCAAAATTCAATGGTCAGAAATAGAAACATTTCTCAATAATATTATAATATCTGAAAAAGTTAGCTTAACGATATCCGACCCGGATTTTCTTCTTCTTTTTCAAATTTCGACTTGTTAAATTTACTTAACTAAGTCTCCTGTTTCATTATTTAATGGTTTTTTTTTATAATCTAGGCCATGAGTGCAGAGACCCTGCTGCCTTTGAATCACGTGGAATGCCCTACAAGCCCAATGAACCTATTAAGTCTAGGCATTTGGTCTATACAGATGATCCTACCCTGAGTAATTTGCACTTAAGTTATAAAGTTTGAATAGATGATCTTCAGTTGTGGACCTGAAAAAACCCCAACGCTCCAACCAATTGTGTCAACCCTGAGGTGTTGAATAATTATGGAGCTTCCAAATGGATGGTGAATGACAAAGTATACGTGTTGAAGTACGCATGCGCACGGCCACACACACGTATATGTATAGTGAAACAAGCTAGTAAATTAAAGGAGTTGTCAAAAGGAGCTAGAGATGTGTTCATGTACCCGAGCAAAGCAATCGTGAAAATGCATGCGGAGGAGTCCTGCCGCCATTCCCGGATTCTTGGAGACGGCGTCAAACACAGTCTTCCTAACGATAGACTCCACAGTTGGACAGGTGTTCTTGTAGAATCCGACCTTGAACTTGGACGATGTCGAGCACGGCTTCGCAGCCACAGTAGACACGACGCTGCAGGCTAGAATTAAGACGAAAGCCCATGCAACATCTCGGAACATCGAAGCCGCCATTGCCAATTAGTGTCGCACTTTGGCTACTTGATTCGATTTCTGTTTTGTGCTATTTTCCTTGTAGAGTTGAGTTTGAAGTTGGGGATGTATTTATAGGCAAAGCATGAGCCCATAGAAAATTGGAAGTGTAATTATTAATCTTGTTTTGGAACAAGAACGTGAGTAGATGTAAGAAGAGAACATTGCTGCATCCCTGAAGGTCTCTTAACGTGGAGGAGTTCATTTACTCCAATTCTTTATTTACATGATTAGCAATTAATTATTTTCTTAAGATCCATAAAGAGACGAGAAAATTAACAAAATTTGGCAGAACTCCTTAACAAAATTTATACACTAGTCTAATTGGTTGATGGTCAAGCACCACCATCCCATCATGTTGTTTTTTTATCAGGTGAATTTATTCCTTTGGCGGTGGATATGCCCAGAAATTGTCTTCTTGATATGACAAATTGCCAAAAAAAGAAAGGAGTGTTGACGAAGGCCCCGTTTAGTTCAGCATTTGGGAAAAGTCTTTGGCTAAATGCAAAGGCCTTTAGCTTAAAGGACTTTGGGAAAATGTAAGACTGTTTGGTAAACTGTAACTGAAAAGTGTTTTGAGGAAATGCTAGACTGTTTGGTAAACATAAATTTGTAAAGCTTTTTGGTGTGACCAAATTAAATTTTTAATTTTAATATTTTTAATATTGAAAAAAAGAAACAATGACCGTAACTTTGAGTTGGGCTTGACATTTTGCACGATCTGTACCCCATCAGGTTTCAAACGTATGTAGGCTTACATTTTGCGAATGGGCAGAGGGATTATGAATCATCCCAAGCCTTAAAGGTTTCTACGGATTTGAATGGCGAGAGGAGTGGAGCACTTTCAAAATCAAATTTCTTTGATATGGAGCACTTTCTGTTCATCAATTTATTTGCAGATTTCGTATGCTATCTGACCTTTTATGCATACATGCGTATTTTTCAATTGTGTATATTTGGCTGAATGTTTATCTTCTCCATTCTCGGGATATCATACGTCTTCCTAGGCTATTCCGATTCTTACATTGACCCCTTGCGCAGCTAATATCTGTAATCTGGGGCTCCCAAAAGTAGAGAATGATATGCTGCCATCGGAGGCGGCTCACCTTTGCGTAAAATAACTGATGAGCTGGTAAAGTAGTGTACTGCATGCCTTTTTCAGTCTTGTTATGTGCCTAATATCTCTTTCAAAGATGTTATCTACTTTCTTCTTTCTATATATACTGCATTAAAATGATATCTTTAGTTTACATAGCTAGGTGTGAATGTTATGTCGCACTTTTTGCAGGCACAGGCACTCAAAGGGGCTTTGGAAGCAAAGAACATGTCTGCAAATGTCTATGTTGGCATGCGCTATTGGTATCCCTTCACCGAGGAGGCAGCTCAGCAGGTTGTTGCCAATTCTTAAGAGGATATCTAACATTCTTAAGAGGTTATCATTTCACTATAATAAATATGGTCACATATGTCCGCAAAAAAGAAGTACGTTATCCTTAATATTATAAATCTCCTCAATGACTTTGTAAGCTCATGGCTATTTCATCACGTAAACGCGTCATGTCGGAAGATGCATTATTGTTTGAAGCACCGACCCCCTCACTTGAATCATCATGGTCAACTGAATATCCATAATCGAGATCTAATTTTGCTTGTTCAAAATCCATATCAGTCACAGCATTTCTTCATATATAATTGTGCAAAGCCATTGTCGCTGCAACAATTTGAACTTGCTTTTCATATGGATAACTGGGCATACGAGTTAGAATTCCCCACTTCTGTTTTAATACTCCAAAGGCTCGCTCAATTGTTGAGCGTAGTGAGGAATGGGCACGATTGAATACTTCTCGATAACCCGTAGGCAAAGAACCTTCTTGAAATTCTGGTAAATTATATCTAACTTCTTTATATGGCCCCAAATAACCCATGTGATTTGGATATCCAGCATTTACCAAGTAATATTTACCTACACCAATATATTGTAAATCTAATCAACATATGCCACATAGATATATGGATGTAACTAAACCATTAAATAACAAACCTGGAGGAGGATGGGGAAAATGTGCATAAGGTCTTCCAATGGCTTCATAGAAGATGCATGTATTATGAGCTTGTCCCTCCCAACCGGCCCAAACATAGACAAATTCCATATTAAAATTACATATGGCTATCACATTTTGAGTCGTCATTCCTTTTCGACCAATAAAATGAATTTGATCGTACATAGGTACCATCGCTGGGATATGTGTACCATCAATAGCTCCAATGCAATCCTTAAAATATAGAAAAAATCGTCAATCTTTCTTGATTTTCTCTAGAACTTCCCAATACTGTCGATCGGTTGGTTGGATCAAATCTTTTCCCATATCACATACTTTATCTAAAACTAAGCTAAAGTGTCTACTTATGGTTTCCCCAGATCGCTGAAAGCGCTCTTGTGCTAACCTATTGCCTATACTGTGTCCCAAAATATAAAGAAACATACCAACCATTTCTGCAACATCAGTATTCCTAGATCCTTCAAGACCATAACGTGTTACTAATTCACAGGTTAAATTATTAAATACAACCTTATACATTCTAAACATACTATAGCACCTTATAGGATTGGCATCTTCGCCCATTAACTCTTTTAATCATGCATAACCTGTATATGTCGAGGTCATGCAAGGTTGTCTTCAAAGGTATGTTGCTTGATAAAAAAATTGCAATTCCTGTGATTGACACAAGATCCCAGTAGTCATTTTCCTCTTGTTCACGATTTTCCCTTGCATGTGAATCATCCATAACTGCTTCAAGTAACAAAATATAAAGGCTGTAAGAGAAATAATGAATAAGCTTGATCATCCATCGAGAGAAACAATGTAATAACCACATAAAGAGAACACCAACTGAAAACAATTCTCACATTAAAACATTAATAGAAATTGGGTTCACAGGAATGCAAATCAAGATCCATCAATAGAAACAAAGTAACATCACACTCATCAACAGAAACAAAGTAACATTACTCTCTTCAAATAGGAAAAAAAGTAGCATGACTCCGTTCAAACATAAAAACAATAAGATGCCAACATCTTATCTACGAAAACCTGACTCTCTTCCAAACTCATACTTGAGATACTTGACTCCTTTTGCATCATCCTTTAAGCTCATAAAAACCTGTCTATTGTCAATCTTTTCCTTCAAATGAGAGATTGCAAAATAGTACAACATTTCGTCTTCCACAATCTCAAGTATGGTATCCAATATATCTATGAGGTCCTTGTAAGGACCGACTACATTGGTGGTTGCTTGAGATGTGGCTGTGGCATTGCCCCTACTTTCAACAGCTGCAACTAGCCTGTTAATTTGTGTCCCAAGCTCTTCTCTTGTGCTCAATTTCTTATCTTTTTTTCCTCGAGCTTGCCTCGTTGAAGTTTGCGCGGCTCTTTTCCGGCTTTGAGTTCCAATTGGTTCAACAATGGTTTCATCTACATGACACTCCAAATTTTCATCAACAGACCCTGCAACATCATCGATAACAAGTTGTGTGACCTAAACATCATTATTAATACATAAGCCTTGCTGAGGATTCCATGTAACTCCCCCAGTAGCAACTGTATCTCTAAACATCATATCTAACTTCTCTCCAAGATCAGGATGCATGCCTTTCGTTCTAAAAGCCTTAAACTTTGGATTGACCTGTTATAATAAAGCATTTGTGTAAGTTATATCATTGAGGGTGATCCTAACGCAAAAGTAAAAAAAAGAAGTGATGAAAACCTGAATTTTATTCTCCCACCATTCGTCACTCGCATCAATGGTTTTCTTCCTTGAATCCCAACCTAGCCCTATTTCATTATAAAGCAATGACTTCCATCTTTTCCATTCTTCCTTGAGATTATCCCACTTACTCTTCATTTTATTCTTATCATACTTTTTTCTTGTTAGCTCCTCAAACTTGTTAATTATGACTATCCATCCATCCCTTTTGTTGCTTGCAGGACGATTGCCTTTTTCAATTTGTTCAATGCACAACTTACAAAAGGTTTCTACATCTTTAGAGCTCCAAAATGCTTTTTCCTTTGATGAACTTGCCATCTGCTAGTATAGTAACATGAACAAATTTAGGAAGCAAAAACAAATAAGATTAACCATGAACAAATTCGAATGAAGACATACATTTCGTAACACACAGATAACCAATCAACTCCCATATGTTCATTACATAACTAATTGAACATAATTAGTGAATAACATAACCAATTGAACAAAAAAAGGCAACATGCTGTGTTATTCATACTCAGAGGGATTACTCTCGCTATGAATCCAACTGTAATGAATGCAACTGTAAATCACAAAAAAAAGGTCAATGACTACAAGAAACAATCATACTTTTCGACAAATTTACACCTATTGAATTTGTTCTGTTATGAGTACAACCCCAAATACTGTGTTATGAGAGTCGAGTCATTATGAACTTTGAGAATAAAATCCTGGATCAATTAGCAAAAGAAATAGAAGACAAAATCTTGGTGGTACAACATAACTGCCCTAATCTAGGAAATGCGAGAAACAAGCCACTATACATCCACTAGATATGCCCCCAAGTGCATGCTTTGTTCTGGGTAAGGCCCATACTCTGTTCAGAGAGCCGAGTCATCATGGACATCGAGAACAAAAACCTGGATCAATTCACAAAAAGCAAAAAAGAACAAAGGAAAAAATTTGGATAGCAAAATTGGTGTTCCAATCTGACTCTCACAATTGGGCTCTGGGCTCTTAAGTGGGGAACAACACAAATTCAGAATGCCGTAACAAGTTTGCCCACAAAATGCGAAAATCAAATGCTTATGTTGAAAATTCTCTCTGCTAATTAATAAAACTAATTTATGAGTCAAGTGACTTGAGGTGGAAATAGACATTAAACCCAGCAAGATCATACTGATAATAGGATGCTTGTGTTGTAATTATTAATTTTTCCCCCCAAAACCCAGCAAAATCATACTAAAAATAGGATGCTTGTGCTCTAATTATTAATTTTTCCCCCAAAAACCCAGCAAAAAATATTCAAATTGAAGCTAAAATGAGGGCAGCTTTCAAGAGAGAGATCACCAAAGGAACAAGAAGCACTACAAACAAGTCGTACATAAACCCCTTGAGCGACCGCACGTATAATCAAGTGTTCAGGGACAAAGAAAACATTTTCGAAATGAATAAGAAGCAATGCATAACAGTATATGAGTACTCCTTATCTAAGAATTGAATGTGCCTCAAATTACCTCTTTGGCAAAACAAAACAGAAAAGCCTAAAAACATATTTAAGACGATACAAGCACCAAAATCACGAAATGCACAAATTCCATGGTGAAATCACCATGGAAGAAAGGATAAAACCTCAAGGATGACCACAAAATGCACAGATTTAAGCAATCAAAAGCACATCCACCGGGGAGAGAGAGAGACGAACTTGTAGTTGAGCGAGGGAACGAGCGAAGCGAACCACCGAAGCGAACGAGCGAGCGATTTGTCCGAAAGAGAGCGAAGCAACCAAAGCGAGCGAGAGAGGCGAGCGATCTGTCCGAAGGAAAGCGAAGCAACTGAAGCGAATGAGAGAGGCGAGCAATTCCGCACGAGAGTGAGACAACAGTCGAGAGCGACGAAAGGAAAATGGGACAGCGAAGAAGCGGAACGCTAGAGATAGTGTTTTGTGTTTTTTAAATGGGCAAAATTGGACTTTCAACAAAATTTTGAGGGCAAAATAGGCAACTGACCAAAATTCATTAACGAAGGAAGTAGCATCCCGAAAATGCTGAAAAGCCCAAAACACCTCCCCATCTGCTTTGGGCTTTCAGCATCCCAAATGCTAGCTTTGGGCTTTCCGCATCCTAAAAGCACTTGCCAAACGGTTTAGCATTTTGGGAAGGGGCTTTCGGCCTCGAAAGCCCCTTCCCAAAGTTGAACCAAACGGGGCCGAAATCCAATCATACGCTGCCCATACGAATGGGCGTACTCTCCACCCACCTTTTGGTCGTGGGGACAACAAGTACATAACCTATTAGGGGTGAGTATGATCTGAGTAGGCGGTTCCCACCATGAAACCGGGAACCGCCCATTAAAGACCGGTTCCAAAAAATTAGAACCGGGAATAGCATGTTGGTTCCATGGATTCATTCGAGAATCAGTCTGCCGGTCTGGTCCGATTTCCGAATGGGTCCATGAAACCGATCCCACCAAGTTTCACGTAAATGGAGGTGACTGAGAGCGAGAGAGGGAGGCAATGAATAGCCGAAGGTACGGCCGTGAGTCGATGGACGCTGAGCTTGAGAGTCGAGACCTTGAGCGAGAGATAAAGAGACGACTCAAACAAGGTGAGAGTGAGATGAGACGAGCACTCAGTTGATGAGCGTTGAGCTTCAAATTAGGGATTTTAGGATTTTCATTTTTCTTAAATTTTTTTTTGATTGGAAGTTTTTCTTAAAAATTATATATATAAATATATATATTACCGGTCCGGTCCTGTTCCGAGCGGTCCGGGCGGTTCCCAGTTCCTTTACACACTCCTATTGCCTATGGCGTTGAAGAAGTCCATCTTTATTATAATCATAATAGGGAAAATAGATTATGTTGAAAGAGTTGTATCAAAGTTTTGGTCCTAAGCAAGATCTTAAATTGCTTCGTCCAAAGTTTCATCCGGACCTCAGGATCCTCCGGATGTAAAGTAATTAAAGGGTATTCCCTTCTTCTGGAGAAGACAAAAATATAAAGGGAAATTAGGGGATGCGAGCCGTGTGGATCCCACTACGTTAAAATAAGGTATGGATCTGTAGAGCCCGTCACCTCTCGAAGAAGTGGATAAGCCGCAGAGGCCCTCATAGGGAAGCTTGTTTCCCCTCTCTTTGGTGAGGAGCCTTGGAAACAGCTCCAAGGATCCAAGGAGAGTCCCCGATAATTTCTCTCGGTTGATACGAAATTGAGACTCATCTCCACCAAGTGGAGTGCTGTAAAAAGAAATCGATCTTCTGAGAATTACACCGAGTCATCGTCATTTCTTATAATTGAACATTCTCAGTCACGTAGAGATGACTCTTTGTTAATCTGTATAAGACTATTCTAATTGTCTGTCGGGTACAAATTTCCCGTTGAAATTTCAGTTATGAGAAGGGGTGTTGCTACTTTTAAAGGGTGTTTAGCGAGTACCTTTTAGGCGCAAAAGATACACTACACAGCAGCTTCATGTCAATTAATTTTAAGAAGCTAGCCATTCCAATTTTTAGGTGATTAGACTTTGAAATATATATTATTAAACACACAACTCACGACACTACACAATACAGCCACGTCACAACATATTTATAGATCGGTCACAATGATACCAAACTCGGTCCCAATCTGTATGACATGTCTAGATTGAGGATTTACGCTTAGGGGCGTCAAAATTGCTCTCTTTGAAAGGAATTCCTAGTTGGTATAAAAACTGCTATAATCAGAATAAGTTGTTCTAACAATACCATTAAACAGATCTTGCAAACATATCAGATTGTGACAGTTGATCAGGTGATCTTCCTTGCATCAAGTCATCGAAAGTTTGGCAATGCTGAGGCTTGGAAGCTTGTTTGTAGACAGGGGATTAAGGGTTTTGCTGGCACAAATCAGTGGGGTTCAACCTCAATGTCCCAAAACTTGCTTTCGTTGTGTGGTTATGTCTTCATTATAGGTTGCAGACGTTTGAAAGATCAAAGATATGGTGTGACATTGATACTGCTAGTCTACTGTGAGGTCAACAAGTGGAGTCTCGTAGTCATCTCTTTTTACTTCGCTCATTATCGAGTCAAGTTCGGACAAGAATTGTTTCAGATTTGCTGCAGCTCGGGATCGAGAATTTTCATGGTGTTTACGTAGTCTCAAGGGTTGCAGCTTATGGATAAGAATGATGAGGCTTGCCTAGAATGCCTCTATCTTAGCATATTTGGAAAGAAAGGAATCGTGTCTTGCATGATAATGTTCTCCTCTGGCTAATAGAGTTATAGTTGATGTTATGTTTGCTGTTGAGATTGCTTCTGAGGCACTTCTTTGCAATGGAAAGAGAGTCCTATCAGCTGAAGTTCAAGCTTCATTTCAGCACATAAATAGCATGAATCTTTAGAAAAGGTGGCAATGCCATCAAACAGTCAACACCAAATCAGGCATACCAAATTAGCAAAGCCTCTGAAATCAATTTCAAAGCAATGAAACAATTTGGCTTTGACTCCATGTGATAATGGCAAGAAGAAATAGAGGCCAGCCACTTTTAGGCTTCAACAGAGGCCAACTTCATCACTTGTGTCTGCATCTCATCGTTCACGACACTGCACAACTTCCTGATCTCTCCCTTGTTTACCAGGGTAGCACGTCCATCGTGCCTGTCTTCAGTCACCTTAGTGAACTTTGCGCGCCACATGACGCCATTCTTTGCGTTTTTCATGACCATCCGCGAAATCCTCGGGCTTGCGTACAACGTTTCGTCCGAGGACAACAAGCCACGGAACCTCAACAACCGGATGCAGTACGGATGCTATCAAGTGATCCTATTGGGTCTACTTCAGCAGTCATATTACTCGGTGTCAGGGTGGACTTGGCCCTCAGGAAAGCCGCATATGCAAGGTGGAGCGACGGGTCTCGAGCCAGCGTGGCGCTGAATGTGTAGAGCCGGCGGCGCCCGAGGAATGAGAACTGCGAGATGCTGATGGAGAGAAGGAAACTTGCAGATGAGCTAAAAATGAACACTTTAGATGTTGAAGTGCACATGTGAGTTGTGTTAAAAAAGTTCAACAGCAGATAAGTGGTGTGGTGTGGAGCAATTAAATAACCAAGTTGGCCCATTAACTCATTAGCTTAAACTTTTGAGTGAAAGTGGTTCCAACTGGATATAATAACGGGCTCAAACTTGGGCTCTCTCTTGGCGATCTTTCCAAATGAAGGTATCAGGCTTCTGCTGTCTAAATTAAGGAGGAGCAGACCTAACACTAAGCTCACATGTGATAAGGCTGCGTTTGGTCGTCCGGATTTCTAAATAGAATAGGACTGGATAGGATAGGATAAGAAATCCTTGGATTTTTTCATATCCTTTCCACTGTTTGGTGGACTACGGATTTAAAGTCGGATAGGATAATTTTTATTTTTATTTTTTGCTATTCATGGGTCCGGAGGAGTCAGTGAAGGAAAAAAAGCCGAGAAATTTTTTTGATGAAAGCGCACAAGGTGTGGGGATGAAGATGACGGCGAGTGGAGTGTAGGGTTTCTTGAAAAATAGGCACTAGAAATCCTATCCAGGTCTATCCCACCCCCTCCCCCGGATTTTTTTATCCGGGCTATATCCGATCTATATCCGACCTTATCCTATACCAAACACAGGATAGGATAAAACATATCCTATCCTGATTTTTATCCAGTCGACCAAACGCAGCCTAAGTGGTGTGGAGCAATTAATATATCCAAGTTTGCTCATAACTCATTTGGCAACCTCCCCGGATGAAAGTATCGAACTTCTGGTGTGTGCTCCCAACAACAGAGGAAGAAATTTTGAAGGACAAATGACACAGATAGACTGGGAATTTTAACCCAACGTGTGATGTCATCTTTGAACTTTTAATTTGTTCAACATGGTACATGAATTATTGGTAAATGTTCAACGTAGTCATTCCGTTTGCTCGAACAATAAATTAGACATTGTTTATTGATGTTGATTATTATATACTAAGTTGTACTTCTGAAAATGATGAGTTAACATGTCTATTTTTTTATCGATCTATTTTAGAAAAGAAAAAAAATTAGGACGCTAATGTGTAGATAATTATTTGATGACATGAATTATTATATCATAATTTGAAATGAATATCTTACTTGGATAATCTAAGTGTAACTTTTTTTTGTTGCCCACCGTTTAAACTTAACAAATTGGAAGTCACATCAGCATATTCCGTTAACTTAAATTAACGGAAATATGACATTGATCAATTTCATATAATTTAGAAACTAGATTGAACATTTACTAATAATTTAGGGACGATCTTAAATAAATTAAAAGTTCAGGAAAAACATTATACATTTGATCAAAGTTTAAAGACTGTTTGTATTATTTTTCCAAATTTGAATTATTTTATGTTTTGATTTTGAATTTTTTGAAAAGTAAGATTATGGTATGCCCAATGACATGATTAAGTTGTCGATTGATTTTTTTTTCCAAAGTTGTCTATTGATTTATATTACCATTTTGTCCATTATTTGGTATTGTATGATTATTATTTTTCTTTCAATTTTTAAATTTTTACAAGAATTTTGACAATGCTTATAGGAAAGACACATGGTTGAAGTGACTAATAAAAATAGGGAAATGACACAAATGGTCCATAAATTTTGACTCAATGTGCAATGTGATACCCGAACTTTTAATTTGTTCAATGTGGTCCTTGAACTTTTGGTATATGTTCAATTTAATTCTTGGACTATGTGATAATAAAAGGACAATATTGAATATTTTCATGCTATATTCAAAACAAGATTTTAACAAATGCAGGTATTTAGTCCCATCGTGATGTCTCTCTTAGGCCTTACCTTGTAGGGACCGACTTTGAACATTTAACTAAACCCTTATTTCGAACATAAGGCCTTCTGGCCCTCAGTTTTTTACGCACAAGATCTTCGTAGAGGCGAGTACATAGCATACTACTAAGATAAGGTGCTATTTTACCATTTAAAATTCACGGATCATATTAAATAAATTAAAAGTTTAGGGATCACATCACAGATTGAGATAAAGTTCAAGGATAGTATTGAATAAATTAAAAGTTCATGGACCATATTGCATATTGAACAAAAATTCGTGGATAATTTGTGTCGCACACGTAGCGCCAAATAGCACGAAATTTACATAACGAGCGAAATGGTAATTGAGTGTTTACCTTCGTCATGTAACTAAAGCGTGTTTTACCCACAGCACAAGATGCTTCCTTCAAATCGGGAGCTTAAATGACGCAGGGGACTCGCTAAACTATCCCGAGAGTCGCCGAAACCCACCCAGAAAGCTCCGATGGAGGCTCGCTGCAAGTTCTGGCTGCCCAAGAAGAGCAGATTCTGCGCCAACTCCCCTCTCCACGATTCACCGTGAGCTCAGAATCTTCTTTTCTTTGTTGGGTTTCTCTTCAATTTGAACTACTTTTTGTTAGATTGAACTCGCCAAGAAATGCTCGTCACCAGGTTCTGCGGCAATCACACCCCGAGGTCTGATGCTCAGTGGGTACCGTGCCCCCTCGACCCATCTCAGTAAATCTTCCATACCCTTTTGCCCTTTTGTGTCGTTGCGACGAGTGTATGTGCAAGTTCTCCTTTTTTGTGTTTTCGGCTTTTGATTCTTGTTTGGGTTTGTTTTCGCTTTCTTTCTTGTGTCTGTGCTTGGTTTGAGAAGCTCTGTGCTTCAAGATAACTTGGAAGGGCACGTGAAGAGATGCCCACTTCTCAAACAAACGCAGTCCTTGTCCCTCCAGCCTTTTTACCAGAAGGGTATCAATGCTGGTCACGAGGACGAGGATGGTGTGCCGTTGAGTAATTTGCCGCCGGGGTTTCCGGATAATGTTACGTCGGAGATGAAGAGGAATGCGGTGTATGGTCTGAGTGTGCCAGAGTTTTGTAGTCTGATCGACAGGATCAAGTCTGTGCACGAGTCGATGTGCGGGGATATTAGAGACTCATTCAAGGTTACGGATGTTTGTGACATCTGGATTAAGGGACAAGTTGATAGGTATCTTAAGATGTTCCAAGTGATTTTTGTTATCGTACGTGTGCTCCGTTGGTGATAGGAGTTGTTGTTTGCAGTAAATTGCCATTTCAGGAGAAACATGTGATGCAACAGGCATCGATTCTGGGGAACATGGAAGAACATGGGGTTTTGAAGAGATTTGATATGAGGGAGAAGTCTGATAATGAGGGACAATGTGTGGATGATGAAAATAAGAATGATGTTCCTGCCGTTGTTGAGTTTGGAGCAGGGAGAGGTTATTTGACACAAATGCTTGCGGACTGTTATGGGATCAAGAGAGTCTTCTTGGTGGAGCGGAAGTCTTACAAGCTTAAGGTGAGTATTGAGTTTTAGAACAATACATTGTCCATTGAAACTTAACTAACTTTTTTCAGATTCTGCCTAGTCTTGAGCTGCATTTTGTTTATTGTTTATGTCATTCAAATGCCACTCGTAGGCTGATCGATCCTTGCGACAAAAAGAGAGCTTGTTATTAGAGCGCTTGAGAATTGACAGTAAGGTTTTCAAGTTCTTCAGTATTCTGGATTGCATTATTCAAATTGTGCTTTCATGTTTTGGTCGGGTAGGAATACTGATTCATTAAAAGTGTTATTAAAGTGTAGTGTTTCATATATGTAGCGGAGCATCAAATTCTCTCTTGATATACACTTTGCTCGTATAGAAGCCAAAACTTAAAGCATGTAAATTGCAAATCTATTCTTTCATGACAGGGAGATGTCTTCATATCGTGAGGGATTGTTTTGCTTCGTTAACGTTTGCTAGATAGGATATAGCCAATGTTGGTGACGGTGAGATGTCCACAAATTGTGAGGGATTGTTGTGCTTCTTTAGCCTTTGCTAGTTAGGCTATAGCTATGGAAAGACATGTTCCTGCTGGCAAATGTTACCTTCATTGAAGAAGTATTACACTCTAAGGCTACGGGGAAGTTCTGTTGAGAAGGACTTCAAGTTGAAGTCTGCCATATATTTTTCTGCACCTAACTCTAGAGTGGTAGTAGTTCTGGTCCGGGCTGATTTACAAGAGATGATAATTATCTACCAGTCAGAAAGGAGAGGCCTCTACCATTCTGTAGTTCATTTTAGAGAGACAAGGGCCAATTCTGAATGCTAATAATGTGACGAGAGTTGTTTCGTTGTTAACTTGCTAAGATTCTGTGACCTAGTATAGGACTCTACAGACATGATGACCATGTAGGCAATTTCTTAAATTTTCAGTGTGTAGTTTGAGAGAGATGTAAAATTTAGCTTCAATTGTCGTTAATAGTGCATTGAAATGTGAACTGGAAAAGGCTACATTGGAGTTGCTCCTTTTGCAGTTGAGGATCTAAATTTGCATGCTGTTGAGTCTTTACGAGGATCTCCATTCTTGGCTGTTGGCAAGCATCTCTGCGGTCCGGCAACAGGTGATTAGAACGCTTGCTCAGATTATGCCAGCCCAAGAAACGTGAAGATGGATTCACAGTCACTTTTCATCTTTATCAGCTTCTTTTAAAGGAAACAACGTTTCTACACAATAAACCCGAGCTAACTCTTGGTGCAGATTTGACTCTAAGATGTTGCTTATCAGAAAGAACTATTGTTGATGATGTTCAGAAATGCCCTATACAAGGCCTAGCTATTGCAACATGTTGCCATCATATTTGCCAGTGGAAACACTACATAAGTAATCTATCATCCTGCTTCAGATCGTTCATTTTTAAGAAGGTTGTTTTTGCACGACGACCAGTTGAAGCTGACCTTGCAATTTTTCTCTCCAGATAAGAAATATTTCTCGAATTTGGGTATCAAGAAGGAAGAATTCCATGCCATCACGTGGTTTACCAGCTGGGCAGTGGATGCTGATCATGGTTCAGATCTTTCTGATGTCAAGGATCCAGGATCGCATCTTCCAACTATGTAATCATCTAAAACTCTTACCTTTCAATTGCTCAATTGTGATTAAAAAACATCCTTGATTGTGACATTGACCCCATGAATCCGATGCTCTCGTTTTGAACGTCACTTTACATCTGCCTCAGTGAGAAGGAAGAAGATGGAGAGGATGCGACCCCTGTTAAAGACATTATCGGAAATATGGAAGCAGTAGAAAGGGCTGTGTTGGGCTTTATGTGCAAGCAGATCATCGACATCGGGAGACTGATGTGGCTTAAGGAACACAGACTGGACGCACAACTTGTCAAATACGTTCCCCCAAGCATCTCGCCGGAAAACCATCTGTTGATTGCCAAGAGGGAAACTCGATTATGATAAAGTCCTGTCTGCATCTCAATTTTGGAAACACGGTAGTATCTTCTACATCTTCATTTTGGTCGAGGGATTTGCGTGGATTTGCCGGGGAACGTGTGAACTTTTGGTCTGAGAATAGATACTGTTAGAGTTTGAAGTTTTGAATGTGAACGTGGTTTCAAGGAGATAGATGCCCTCCCTGATACTGAGTGTGATGGACCAGTGTATCTGGGGTCAAGTCCAACTTGAACACCTCAGCTTAGACTAAGTGGAGGGTAATCCTAGGTTTGAGCAATGGATCTTCAGACACAGAAATGCAAGGAAAAAGAACAGGTGCTCCCTTTGTACTTGATGGGTATCATGTTTCTCGTTGGTAACAAAGGAGATTCACTTGGTCCTCAGGATAACTTTCTCAACGTTTTTAACTGCTGGGGATAGTTTTATGTTCTTCCGGGGACGCATCTTCCGATCATAATTTGTCGTAACTGCCTTACATTTTTTCGTAAATTCAAAGGCTTTATGATTATCGAGCGAGATTTACTCTATTTTTTTGTCCGACAATCATTAAGGAGTTTGGAGATCCGTTGCCTGAAAATCCATTAGAAACTCCTTGAAGAGCAAGGTACAATTCCAATTTAAAAGTGCATAATCTATTGACTTGCTTTTTCATTCTTTTCGCAATCGGTACTAAAGCAAAAAAGCAAACATCAATCATATTGTCCCACGACACGATCAATCTCCCACAAATCATTTCGCCCCACAATCTAATCTCGAGTGCCCATGTGATTTTTTACCTTTTAAAGTACATACCGGACCACCAAATCGCGAAGTAATATACCATCATCTGGTTACACTTTATTTTAAAACTAGAATAGAAATGTACACCGTACATTCGGTGCAATGTAATATGATTCCTCGAATCGTGTAGATCCGACGTGGATCCAATCCGGCCCACATTACCCAACGGATCACGTAAACCGAGCCGATATGGCTTTGGACGCAAGTAATACTTCTCCCTCGTCAAGATCGCGTTACGGCCGCCAGTGCTTCTTTTTTTCAATTTAGCGGTTAGGTGATGCTCAGACCAAGACTCGGGTAGGCTCGTTCCGCCTACCGGAGATTCAAACGACGCCGCTTTCCCAACTTGGGTAGGCTCCAACGCATCCCTGGAGTGTGAACTCGACAAGATTCCTTGGCCAACAGCAGCTCTATCTCCCCTCTCTTGTCCGTAAATCTTTCCCAAGAAACGCTTGCAGACAGCAGATGCAGGGTCCGACCATAATCACAATACCATCTGTTTCTTGTATCCTAGTCCGATTTTGCTTTCCCCAGATCATTAAACTATACGATAAGATCTTCATTTCTTTTGGATTTGATCAAACCCCAAGGTCTCCCGAGTGACGCAGATCGCGTCAAACAGAGCCATGTCATGATCAAACCTATCCACTATCCTTTCACTGTCGCCACTCCTTTATGTGCCCTCCCCTCCACCACCAGGTCCACCACCACCATCTTCACTGCTTTCCTTTTTCTTTACTCGCTCTCTCGCTCGATCGCTTTGCTTGCTCCCTCGTTGATTCCGTCAGCTCGCCTTGCTCCGTCGGATGGACGAGCCCAGAGGAACCGTCCTCTTCACCACCGTCGGCCGCCCCTACTACGGCTTCGACGTGTTCTCCCTCGACCTGAACTCCCGCCGCGAGCGCCGCCTCACCGACGGCCTCTCCATCAACTTCAACGCCCAGTTCGCATCCGCCACCGCCGCCGGCGAGGGCGACGGAGGCGACGACCCGGAAGCCGTCGTCTTCGTCTCCGAGCGGACCGGCTGCCCCCGGGTCTACCTCGCCCGGTCCGGCTCCTCCCGGCCCGACCCGCTGCCTTCCGCGCCGGGCAGCCTCTTCCACGACCGGCCCGTCCTCAGGAACGGCCGGCTCTACTTCGTCTCGGCTCACGAGGACCCGGGCCGGCCGTTCGCGAGCTGGTCCGCTCTCTACTCGGCCGACCTGGAGGGTAGCGCAGTTGCCAGGTTGACCCCGTACGGCTCCGTCGACTACAGCCCGGCGGTCTCGCCGTCGGGGAAGTTCGTCGCCGTCGCGTCCTACGGGTCGCGCCCTTGGGGCGGCGAGTTCCACGCCCTGAACACGGACATCGTCGTGTTCCGGGAATCCGACCCGAAGGAGCGGGTCGTCGTGGCGGAGTCCGGCGGCTGGCCCACCTGGTCCGGCGACTCCGTCGTCTACTTCCACCGGAAGGCGGACGACGGGTGGTGGAGCATCTTCCGGGTCGACGAATTCGAGTTCCCCTCGGGCACGGGCTCCTCCGGGTTCCCGCTGGCTCCGACCCGGGTCACTCCTCCGGGTGTCCACTGCTTCACTCCGGCCGCCATGCCCGGCACCGACAGAATCGCCGTCGCGACCCGACGGCGGGGCAAGACCTACCGGCAAATCGAGATTTTCGACGCCGGGTCGGAGTCCTTCGTCCCCGTCACCGAACCGTTGAACCCGAACTTCCACCACTACAACCCTTTCGTGTCTCCCGGGTCACGGCACATCGGGTACCACCGGTTCCGGGGCGGGTCGACCGGGGGCGGCGGGTCGAGGGTCCCGAATCTCGAACCGGTCGCGTCGCCCGTCGAGGGGCTCCGGATGCTGAGGCTGAACGGATCGTTCCCTTCTTCTTCCCCCGACGGCGAGTTCGTAGCCATCAACCACGACTTCGAGGCCGCCGTCAACGGCGGAGTGAAGATCGTCCGGTCGGACGGCTCGAGGCGGTGGACGCTGATCAAGGGTCGGACCGCTTTCTACAACTCGTGGAGCCCCGCCGAGAAGAACGTCATTTACACCTCCATCGGGCCGATCTTCGAATCGCCCAAAACGACGGTCCAGATCGCTCGGATCGAGTTCGATTTATCCGGTCCGGAGGGCGTCGCCACGACCGACGTGAAGGTGCTCACGAGGGAGGGCACTGGGAACAACGCCTTCCCCTCGTGCTCTCCCGATGGCAAGTGGCTCGTGTTCCGGTCCGGTCGGACCGGCCACAAGAACTTGTACATCGTGGATGCTGCCAACGGCGAGTTCGACGGCGGGATCCGCCAACTGACGGACGGGCCGTGGATCGACACGATGCCGTCGTGGTCGCCCAACGGGGACCTCATAGCCTTCTCTTCGAACCGGCACAACCCGGACAATGTGGACGCTTTTAGCATCTATCTCATCAGACCGGACGGGTCGGGTCTGAGGAGGGTGCACGTGGCGGGGCCGGAGGGGTCTCCCGAGGTCGACCGGGAGAGGATCAATCACGTGTGCTTCAGCAGGGACGGGGAGTGGCTGCTGTTCACGGCGAACTTGGGCGGCGTGACGGCGGAGCCCGTGTCGTGGCCCAACCAGTTCCAGCCGTACGGGGAGCTATACGTGGCGAGACCGGATGGGAGCGGGCTCCGGAGGCTGACGTGGAACGGGTTCGAGAACGGGACGCCCGCGTGGCACTCGACGGACGACGCGGGCCCCGGCGACCCGAGATCGGGGACGACCGGCGAGGGTTGGGACGGGGATGAGTTGAGCGGGCAGTTTGAGGAGCCCCTATGGATATCTTGCGATGTTTGAAGACAAATTCTAATATGGGGCCAATGCCGTATGGTGTGGAGAAAAATAAAGAAAAGAAAGAGAAAATGAAAAAAAAAATGGCTTAAATTATAATTTTATCTTTTTTTGTGGATTTTGGGTTGGGATTGTGAAAGAATAAAGACTTCAATTTATGAAATTTATATGAGCTTTTGATGTGTGATTAATGCCGCTTTAACTTAGGCCCATGCGCATCTGAATATTTTTCTTTGAAGTTAGAACTTAATATTTGCATTTCGAGTTGATTTTGGACAGGAAAGTCGAGGTGTATTTGATTTTGGACAGGAAAGTCGAGGTGTATTGTTGAAATATTCAGCGGCTCGATGAAAATTCGAAGATAAGTGGCGCTTTTACAACGTGAAAAAAAGGCAATATTAGTTTGGTCCGTGGGTTTATATGTTGCACGTCCACTGCACTAGACATTAGGTCTAGAGGCACTTATATGGTACGCTGCTTGTAGTGCGCAAATACAAGATACGAGGCCGTAACTAAGTATAAAATAAATATCTTAACGTGTCGTAAAACTATTTCATAACACATAAATCATGCATAGCCTAGTCACGTCGAGTTGCAAGCTGGAAGAGTCGGGATGGGGCTTTCAATTCACAGTGAGTGGTGCCTCCAATAACGTTACGACATATTAACGAAAACAAAAATTAGACCATGGACTCTACATTTATATTAAGAGAGTCATAGTCTCGTTTTTATTAAGATGAAGACCTTGTCAAGAATTGATTTTGTGGTCACCAGGAACTCGATGGATTCAATTAGTAATTAAAGTTCTAATTGAGAATGATCCATGACCAATTGAAATGACTTTGAATCAAAAGTAAATGCATTCTACCATGCCTTGACGTATCAAGGGCTCTTTTTTTTTTAAAATATTCTAAACGGGCCCCTTCCATTATGCATTATGATCTTTCTACCAATCCCCCAACTACCGCTTATCCCTCAATTGATGGATCCTTCTTGATTCAGTCTTCAACCTCCATGCATGTTTCGAGTCGATTGATGATTGTCACTTGTCACGCGCTTCGCTTCAATTTTGCCCATTTGAAACTCATGATCGATGAACTTACCGGGGCATTCCACTGATGGGCCTTGCGAGTCAATCGTATTGCTACGTTAATCACTGAGTCTTATCAGACGTTTGATCGATTAGGCCTTTATGGATTAAATGTATCGTCATGACCTGATATGGACGGTTAGCTTTTTAACGTTTTGACCCAAGTTTTGGGGGCTGGTGTCAACACTTACGCACTTCAATTTCATGAAGTATCATTGCAATTTGTGTTTGGACAGTGATCACCAGCCCCTTAAAGCTGGCAACAATTTTGCATGATGTAATTCTTGGTGCGATACACTCTCTTGCGATTATTTGAAGAGAGATACTAAAGTGGGCCAAAATGCCATGTGGTGTGGAGAAAAATCAAGAAAGAAAGATAAAAAAGGAAAATAAATTTTGCTTAATTTTCCTTCACGTATTTTGAGGAATTTGGGTTGGGATTATGAAGGAATAAAGGGCGTCGATTTATGAAATTTATATGAACTTCGATGTGTGATTAATGGTGCTTTACTTAGGCCCATGCACATCATAATATATTTCTTTGAGGTTAGAACTTAATTTTCTTTTCGAGTTGATTTTGGACAGAAAAGTTGAAGTGTATTGCCAAAATATTCAGCATTCGATAAAAGTTCGAGGATAAGAGGTCCTTTTATCATGCAAAAAAAGGCAATAATAGCTTTTTTTTTTTGGGTCGAAAAATGCAATAATAGTTTGCTCCCTCGTTCCGAGTCGATTTCTAATAAGAAGTAACGTTCCAACAGCTAATTTTATTGCGATTTGTTATGTAAAGCTCTTGACTTTCTGTATGCGTAAGTTGCACTGTACACTCACAAGGCACATCGCCGTAGATTGCCGTAAAATGGTTTCACGGCACGGAAACCCTACGTATAGCCCTGTGATGCCGGGTCACACGCCGGAAGAGCCGGGTTTGGAGGTTTTCGGGTGGTGCGTGCAGCGAAGTCACGTACCACGCATTGTCGTCATCGATAGTGAAAATACCGAAAGAACGTAGCTGTACGGGACGCCGTTGCTCCTCGGAAGCGTCCTCTCGAGCCGGGGACGGCTGACCCGGGTCCGATTCCAGCCGAACCGCGTGAAATTTGTAGCTAACAGAAGAGAGATTAGGCCATTGGACTCTACATTGACTCGTTCTTTCTACATGTACAACCTTGTCAAAAGCGCTCATTTCGCTCCACAGGAATTTTTTCTTGGTCAATTTTCAAGAATGGGAAATTTCCCCCCTTTCGATCTCAGAAACCAGCTTTGTCACGGCCAAATCAACTTTACTGTTTATGGTAAAAAAATGCGCGCGTATTTTTCTTCTCTATAAATGATTTCGATTAGCAATTAAAGTCCGATCGAGGACGATTGATGACCGATTCAACTGTCAAAGTCAATTTCGATTTCGAAAGCAAAATGAATTATAACATGGCTTGAATCCCGGCGGACTTTGTAAAATCCAAATTACCAAATAATGCCCCTGATATATGATTGAGATCAGCGAGGGAATTGCTTGTAACTTTATTGAATTGGAACGGACAGCTTACGTTCTCGGAGGTCGAAATATTAATGGAGATGACTTGAGTGCGTAGCGAAAGTAAAATCTTACGAGATACCATTAGGGAAAATTTTCCAAAAAGTCATAAACCTATTACACTTTTGCCAATTCAGTCCTAAACCTTTTAATTTTGCCAATTGAGTCCATCCGGCCAATTTTAGCCAGAATTTGTTAGCGTAGACACCGGTTATCGTACATGGCGTAGCTGACGCTGACGCTAACGTGGACAATTTTTAATAATATTTTAATATTTTTTTTAAAAAAATTTATTTATTTATTTTTCTTTTCTTCTTGCTCTTCTAGCCAATTACCGGCCTCTGACGAAGCTCACCCTCACCGGCCCTCGCCTCTGGCCGGTCGTTGGCCATCACTGATGCCTGGTGACCGGCTAGAGGAGGAAAAAGGAAAGAAAAAGAAACTAAATAAATAAATTTTAAAAAATATATTAAAGTATTATTTAAAATTGTCCACGTCAACGCCGACCCTCTTACGTGATACGGCCGGCGTCCACGTCAGCAATTTCCAGCCAAAATTGGCCGGATAAACTCAATTGGCAAAATTGAAAGGATTATGACTAAATTGAAGTTTATGACTAAATTGGCAAATATGCAATAGGTTTAGAACTTTTTAGACAAATTTTCCGATTCCATTAAAAAGCTTTTATGAATAGGGATGAAGTATTGGAATTAGGAAACCTAATCTAATTTAAATTTCGTATTCAACTTAAGCAAAATCTAATCAATCTATTACGAGCGACCTCCTTCTTCGTATTTTCAAGGCCAAAGCCTGACGTGTGTTGTCATCTCTGATAGTATCTTAATTGCTCGCGATCGCGCGTATGTATTGTTTAAATTTTTGTTTTATCTCTCCGTGTCTTTAAACGGTCCCTTTTGTTATCTATTTCAATATTTCTTCGCAAGAACCTCTAAATGTTTTGACTTACCGACGAGCAACCGGCATGCCCGGCGAGCGGCCGGCATGCCGCCGGCGAGCGGCCTTCCGGGGATTACAATTTTAAAACCTCTTGCGGCCAACTGATCGATCATGCCTTGCGGTTTGGAACCTTCTATGCAACTTCTCGGAGGAATCATGGCTACTCCAGTAACATGATTTAAATTGTCCTGTCATGGTCCGATGTGGACCATTAGCTTTTAACATTTTTTTTTTTGTATGGTTGTTGTAGGGGAATAACAGCCAGAACATGCCGCAAAAATCACGCAATGTTAGATATGTAAAATCAGCTAATCTTCAATTGACCGGTTCTTCTATTTCGCTTTATTTTTCAAGATTGACCTGACGACTTTGAGTTCTATATAATGCACTGTCTAGTGCACTCAAATGTAATTGTAAGCCAAAAAGCCAGTCACTTTCTCCATCAGCTCTTCCTTTCCAATTTGGAAAGTAGCAAATCCAATCCTTCTTCTCATCATGGAGCTTGTGAAGCTGCATCACCACCAAGATCACAACCCATGTCTGAGCCTGTCCACTGGTTCCAAATTTCAGAGGCGAACCATCCAAATTATAGCCTTAGTCTCGATCTTTTTTGGGATGTTGCTGTTCCGCTTCTCGTCTCTTATCGTCCCTCTTTGCTTCCGCTTCTTCCAGAGCTTCCATTTCTCTGCATATTTCGTGGAGCTGCAGTCTCTCAGCACAAGCAAGAGCTATATGTTCTTGCTCTGCAATGGGATCTTGGTGATCCTTGTCGGGAGCTCCGGCCTGATCGAGACTGGACGGTATGGTATCGCTCCCTCTGGTCCGCAGACCGCAGATAACGATCCTCGGTTCGATGGACGTGGTCGTGATTCCTCGAATGAACAGACAGAGAACAGAAGAACAACAGATGCCGAAGAAAGGCTTCCGGTGGCTGTTAAAGAAGAGTTCTTGATTCAGAAAGATGAAATTCAAGAACAAGGAAGGGAGCTGGCGATCACTGTGGTGAGTCATCATGACGATGAATTTGAGGATCAGTTGAGCAGAGATGAATGCATGATCACTGAACAGGCAATGCAAGAGCAACCAAGTGAGCTCTGGCTGATCACTGATCAAGCAGTTATCGATGACAACGACAATGGTAACGACGACGAAGCAGATGGGGAGTTGAGCATAGAGGAATTGAACAGGAAATGCGATGAATTCATAAAGAAAATGAAAGGAGAACTTTGATGTTGAAGTTTTGTAGCTCCCTAATATCAGATATATTTTGGAAGTTCCAACAATAGAATAGTTTTTTTGCCTAGATTTTTTTTCTTCTAAGAGGACTGAAGCTCACGAGTATTCTTAGTTGTCTTGTAATGCTCCTATCTTGAACCATTGTGGGTCTAATCGGGATATTCTGCAATATATCTACAGAGAAGCTTCTACATTACAACTATGATTTAGCTTTGCTTTGGACTGACATTTTATCTCTTTATCAACATCGAACCATGGCTAACAAGTGATCTTAACCGAGTACTAACATGCATAGTTTGGTTAATCCGGTATTACGATAAGCATCCACGAAAACTTGCCCTCGTGCATGAGATCGTTGAGCACATGTTATACTATACCATGTAATCTCATTCTTTCTTTCATGAGATATGCTCTAAAGCATTTCTTTTCATTGGTGAATAGGCAGAGCACCTTGGAAACCAACTTTACCGTGCGCGCTTTTTAGACAGTTGTATTTCACAGCTGCTTTTAAGAACATTTCCATAAAGAAATAAGTTTGAGAAATAATAAAGCGGTAAAAGAGAATTATTGAATTTCTATATGTTTCGATGTATATATTAATTAAGAATACTTCAGCCTATTTATACGCTTTATCAGATAACTATTTTATGATAATATCACAATCAAGATATTATCAACGATTAAAGGGAGATGTATGTACAATCTTAAGAGATACGAATAATCAACAGAATTATCAAAATATCTCTAGCGATGGAAATCATTTTAGAGAAATTCCTGATTGTCTCTAACAAAAATAAATTGTCGAATCTATACGCGTCCTCAAAAATTCTTCTTTTTTGTTTTGTGCTTCAGACAAAAAATTTGTCCTCTTCTTAGATGTCTTTTGGTCTTGGTCTCCCCTGAATTATATACGTAGTAAAGGTCCCCCCCAACGTGCTCTTTTCTGCCGTGTGAACGCAGAGATTTTTCGCTATGCTTACTCACTCCGCGAAATGAGACAGAACCTTCGATGCAATTTCTGTGTTGACTTGCAGGTCTTCCGGTTAGCGACAATTTAGATTTCTTTTGACTCTCTGCTACCCGCCAGACCATCTTTCATTCAATGAGCCTGTATTTTGATTACTCACGTTCAAACTCTGCGACTTGACGCGTAATGGGTATGTACGATTTATGCCATACTTATCTCTTTTGATCGCCTGAAGTTCATGAACCCGTATCTGATAGTCGCCGCCGCCCCTTGAAGCATCCGCGATATGCATCGACGAAAAGGCTTCAGTAAAACTAAGAATTCCGATATATTGTCATAACAAGTATAGTCATGTACAATTCAGTAGGCCGTTTTAGATCCACCGTCTCGCCGCCACTTTCTTTCTCTATTCCCCGCTACGTTCGCACGTACAATGTACGAGCGCATTTACACCGACTAGTGTAAGACAGTCGCCTCGTCGACCCGGAGATTACCAGTTCTAACTGCACAAAGAGACTTTTCACAGTGGAGGCCCCCCTAGAAATTCTCTTTGAATGGTAACTCTGTACAGTGATAAAAACTACAATTTGCCAAATCAATTCCTTCAACCAGCCTCAAAAGAGAATGTTGCCCATCCTTTTCTCTCCTGCGCCTTCACAGCTTTCCGCTTAGAATTTGATTAGGCCTTCGCACGGATTGAGCCGGTAATTTATATCATCAACTGTACCAGGCACGATTAACATTGAAAAGACTCGCTCACATTGTTCGGTGCCGTATTTGCAGCAGAGTCATCAACAGCCGGCACATCCCTAACCCGATCAACCAGACTAGTGAGTTCTTGGTTAACATAATCGAACCGTTCCTTGGATGTTAAGGATTCGGTCAATAAAGACGCAGCTAATGAATGGAAGGCTTGAATGCAGTCATTGCTGCTTCTCGAAACATTGTCATCGTCCAGTGGGACTAAAGAACTCTCCAGTCGCCAACGAAACGGAAAATACTTTTCGGGGAGTTGGAAGAAGTTCTTTGCCACAAGAACTCGAATCGAGTGCCTGCATAGTATTCCAGAGTGCTCGAATTCCTTGCAGGAACAACGTATGAGCTCATCTTCCGGTGTCCAAATTACGAGGGACTCTCTATCCAGTTTTTTGTAGTGCCGCACAAGATATGATCCGTTGGCCATTTCGGTCATCGCGTATTGCAGAGAGAGAACCATTTCATTCTGCAAGACGATAAATGCGTAAGGAGTGAGAATACTCTCGGCATGTTCTTCGATGGGCAAGCATGTTTTCATATGCACGTACTGCAGATTTTCAGCACCTTGATTTACAGACCTAGAAGCTACTCCAACCTGAAAAAGTCCAGAAATTAGAACAACCGATTTAAATAAGTAAATTAGAAAGCGAGAAAATAAAAAGGACAAAGAGCATGAAACCGTACCTGCTCAAAGAACACATGCAAGCAAGTCTGCGAAGTCAGTATCTCTTTCACGAAAGTATCCACTGATTTTGAATACTCTTCTGTCATTGCGCGAGCAACAAAATATCCTCTAATCAATGACAATGGCCATGAAGCCCGATAAGAGAAGAGCAGAGCAATGTGCTTATCAGCAACAAGTCCAAACTGAGATATGACATGATTCCATTTAAGTTCAAATTCATCCATGCTCTCCAGATGGCATAATGTATCCAATTCAGCTTTGAACTCTGCGTACTGTGATCCAAGTGTCATAGAGAACCAACTAGATAATTTGGACTGGACATGCCATATACTTATGACGTGCTTGGTGTTGGGTAACTCCCTAGCAATGGCATCCCTGAGCCCAGAATCTAGATCAGTCAAAATTGTTTGTGGACGTCTTCCCCTCATAAACCGAACAAATGTCTGCCCAAAACAAGAAATCATGAGGAGACATGTGAAAACAGCGTGCTTATGTATCACTAGGATTTATGTTCCACAAACCTGTAAGGCCCATGAATATGAGTTGGCACTTTCCTCCTGCAGCAACACGCACCCCAAGAAAATCGCCTTACCATGATTATCCATACCAAACCAGATACCAAGTAGCAATCCATAGGTAATCGATCGATAAGAGGTATCAAAAGTAATAACATCTCCAAAAGAAGCGAAAGCACGTGCAGAATGTCCATATGACCACGCCATATTTTCAACTTTTTCATTCTCATCGGTAGTATAACCATACACAAAATCGGCATCCTTCTCTGCCATACGTTTGCATGCCTCAAGAAGTTCCATAGCATCACTCTCCCTCTTCTCATTAAGCAAAGCGTCATTTTCTTGGACGGTCTTCTTACAAGTTCGAACAAAATTTCTGACGTCCTTTTCAATAAAGGGCAATTGCCCAGGTTGCAGCCCTTTTTCTATTTCCAGGAGCTTCACTATTCGATTCACAGGAAACCCAGCTTTGGATAGAAGGAGGATGCGTTCCTGATCGGCCTCTTGTATCTTCCGATAAGCTGGAAGCAGACGAACTTGGTCATCCTCCAATAATTCATGATTATGAACATTACTGAACTGTGAAACATACCATTGTGTGGCATTGTTGACAATTTCTTTTGTCAGATACAATTTCGCATCACATCCACACCTTACTGATTTTCTATCCCTGGGGTGCTCGACGTTCGCCTTCTTCCTTGGCTGGTTAAACCCAGACCGATAACAAACAAAATCTCGCCTATAAACTCCTAAATTTTGGCTCTCTGTTGAGCGCGCTTTTCTAATTGAAAATCCATTTTTCCGAGCAAAATTACTGTAGTATTCAAATGCTTCATCATCAGTCTTGAAAATTTGGCCTACATAAGGAGTAAAGACAGCTTCTGATGTTGGCAATGATAGTGTCTTCTCCTTCTTGGCTGGCTGGGGGCTCACCGATGGCTGATCATCTCCATCAGATATGACGTAGCACTTCCAATCTCCACATGGACACTGTTGGCGCCGAATCCATATATTACTTGATGGCTTCATTTCCCATCAACTGGGAGGTCTTCCGCAACCTCCCAGTTTCACTTCGTTGTCTCTCACTTCCTTTCTCACCTGAAATTAGTCAAATGGGAGAAAAAGAGACGAGGCTTGAAATCACTCGAATGTCTTCAAAATAGATACTCTTAATAACAGCTGCCACTACATCTGATCGTTATCACAATTTCACGTCAAGAACAAAAGGTAAACCCTCTATTTAACTGCCAACATATATATATATCCGTAAACCTCTGCTCTTTTGCACCTTAAATAGTTTATCATTCATTCAACCCAGAATAGCATGATGGAAGTGATACCGTCTATAAGCACCTCACTTTTAGAAAAAATCTGACCAAAAAACACTATCACTTACACAACATACACTTGGAAAAAATAAAAACAATACACAAGGAAAATAATTGGTTTTGAAAATCTGGAATTAGTTGCACTTACTACTGGAGACGTACATCACAGACAAGAGGGACCACAGAGTAGGCATTTATTCAGCAAGAGAACAATCGTACAGATTCCAATGCAAAAGAATGAAAAAGAGCACCAGACACAAATGAAAGTAACCCATATCAAGAACTTGGCGTAACACATTTGCTGCACTATGCTCAAGATAAATCACTTACTTTAATGGACTTGCTAAGAAATTGATTACCGAACAGGAGCTACAGCCATGGAGAATTTAAATCGGAGAGAGCAAGCCATTCTTTTCCAAACACAATTGAGATGAACAACTTAGTTTCAACAGGGTATGATCGAGCTTGGAAGCAGCTGCCCAATGCCATACATAGAACCCAACATGCTTGACAAAAATGCGAAACAAAAGTACCCAGTTCCCATCCGTATCATAATTCTAACACCAGCATTGAGCGAATTTCCATCCATCATCGACAAACATAATGGGGGAAAGACACTGACTTTAGCTTCATCAAATCGCTACATTGAACAGTAACGAAGCAGCAGCGATTTCTCTCGAGCTTCCACGTACCGGCGAAAGGGAATTTGCCCAACTCCAATCCTTCAACTCTCCCCTCCTCAGAATCCGGAATTTGGATGCCACCCGAATCGTCAGAATTCAGAAAGCGGACCCATCACGGGCCCGACGCAGAATTCAGAACCAAGTCCGCCGCTTTCGCCCACTCGAGCTCACGAACTCAAGCACCCAGATGAAGAAAGGAAGGAATCGATTCGGACAACGCCGCCCGGAATCGTTATGCGCGAGGCGTACTGCGGTTCCAAAGGTGGGAACGGACTTCAGCTGCTTCCATCATCTGCTCCACTAATTCGTCGTCTTCCTCGAACAAAAAGTTGCTTCGGGTTGTCGTTCGTCACGCCGTCCCACCCCGTGGAAGTACGAGGAGAGACGTCGATGGCGCGCAGGCCCAACTTTGCTTTACCGGCCCAGCCTCAGGCCCAATGCTGAGCTGGCTCGAGCAGGGCCGACAAGATGACGTGGACAAATATGTATGGGAAGTATTTCACTTGTTGGATCCAAAATCTAGCTAATTAAGCAAAAGGGCAACAGCATCTTAGCATATTAAGTATGAATTTCTGAAGCGTGACGACTGATCGATACACGGAGAGACACGGTGTCTCGGGAAATGGATCACGTGAAGGACCAATCGGGCATTCGAGCCTCGAAAAAACACCGGTTCCAACTGGGAACTGGACTAGTGCTCCAGAGAACTGGGCAGTTCGGTTCGATTCGGGTGATTCCTTTTGTACACCCCTAATTCGAGAGGTCCGATCTACTAGATTGTCTAAAATCGGAGATAACAAAGTACGATAATTAAGAATGGATTGTGAAAACAATGGCTATGATGTAAATGAATTTTTATGTGTTGAGCCTAGTTGCCTATTTCTCACAACTCTGGTTCTCATTGTGGTAAGTATAGGTAGACATCTATCGTTAGTAAGCAGGTCAGAGTCTCACTGGATTTTGCAACATGTATATTCTGAGGAGCATCTTCCATCCCCAGTAAATACTGATCAAGCTGAGAAGAACAACTCTGCTCATTTTGGCTTTGCAAACTTCTTCAAATGTTGCATCTATCATGCCCTCTATCTGGGCTTAAGAGGCCAGAGACAATCTGCAATGAACTAATCTTCATTTTTTCTTGAGTCCAGAAAACTCCGGGTAGATTCGTACGACAAGAAGGCTTGCTTCTGTATCGATCTGCAACTGAATCACCAGTAATCCCTGCATGAGCATGCGCCGTCTTCGAAATGATGGAACCTGTTCGAGTCCCGCAACACTATGATCCGCCCGACTATTTTCGAGATGTATTTGAATGCAGAGTGACAATCGCCGCAGACGCGAAGGTTCTTCATGATCCTTATAGGCTTTTCCGATTTTCTCGTGAGGACAAACGCGACTGCGATTTTCTCGCTGTGATGGCTCAACAACTCTTCCTTGTTCTCCACTTCAAGATCGTATAGAGCAAAGCTCGTCTGGGGCACGTAACCGGCATCCCTCATTTTCCTATTAAGTTCAGCGAGCTTCTCATAGATCAGATCTTTCTCTGGGTGCGATCTGTCTCCAGACACAAAGACATGAACACCGTCTTTCATCGTGACCCAACTGCACCCAGCATCCTTTTTCGCTGCAGCTTGCCTCATCGCTCTTCTAGCCTTTGCCATATCATCCCATTTCCCTCCAGAAGCATACATATTCGAGAGGAGGACATAGTTCACAGCATTTTGCGGCTCCATCTCAAAGAGCATATGAGCCGCCCTTTGACCAAGCTCGCTATTACGACCATTGGCTCGGCAACAGGCTCCTAACACTGTTCTCCAAATAAGAATGTTAGGTTCCATAGGCATCTTATTGACAAAATGCTCTATTTTGCTGAGTTCACCTGCCCTGCCGAGCAGATCCACCATACATGAGTAGTGTTCCATCCTAGGAGCCAAACCGAACTCTTCTTGCATGGCTTTGAAATGCGTAAAACCTTCCTCAACCAAACCCACGTGGCTACAAGCTGAAAGTACTCCGACAAAAGTCACATGATCTGGTGGTTGTCCACTTAGCTTCATTTGTCTGAAAAGATTTAGAGCGTCTTCTCCGTGTCCATGGCGTGCAAAGCCAGATATCATGGAATTCCATGAATAAACATTTCTTACGGGCATGTTTTGGAAAAATCGGGAGGCATAATCTACTCTTCCACATTTCGAGTACATGTCAAGCAATGCGCTACCTACTACAACATCGGATTGCAAGTGGGCCCTAATCCCACAAGCATGAACTTCCATGCCACGTTCTAGTGTTGCAACAGAAGCGCAAGCACTAAGAATGGTGGCAAAGGTGAAAGAGTCCAACCTCTGACCTCTCTGCAACATATACCAAACCATATCCATGGCTTTGGACAAGAACTCATTGTGGATGTACCCAGAGATCATAGCATTCCAACTGACTTCATCCCTTCTTTCAGACATTCTGGAAAAGATTTGTTCACACTCATCCATCTCTCCGCACTTCCCATAGCAGGCCAAAAGTGCATTCTCAATGACAATGTCCTCTGCAAGATTATATTTTAATGCTAGAGCATGAATTTGGTGATTAAATCGCTGAAGTGATAGCAATGAGACAGCTGCAAGAATGTTTATAAAGGTTACTCTGTTCAGACTCCATCCCGCTCGCATCATGCCCAAGAGATACTTCACTGCCCCAGAAACTAATGCTTCTGAATCAGAAAATGTCCCGATGATCGAATTCCATGAAACTTGATCATACTCCGGCATGAAGGAGAAAACTTTCTCGCATTCAGCAAGACACCCAACTTCAGCATATAAAGCGAGAAGAGCATTTGCAACCGAAACATCTAAATCAAGCCCTAATTTCATCCCTTCTCCATGAATTTGCCAGCCAAGCCAAATCCATCCTAAGCTAGCACATGAACTCAATGTACTTATCAAAGTGAAATTAGAAGGTACCAGTCCACTTCTCCGCATCATTGAGAAGCTAATAACCGTATCCTCAAAACAGCCATTTTGATCTAAGGCGGAAATCAAGGAATTCCATGAAACCAAATCTTTCTCATTCATCAATGCAAAAACTGATTTAGCATCATTAACAGAACCACATTTAGCATACATAGTTACTAGCCCATTTTCCACAGCAACCTTATTATTAATTAAGCCAGTCCTGATAAGATATGCATGGATTTCTCTTCCACTTCTCTTCCCTTCATCAGGCACAGCGAATTCAGCGACAGCACTTAAAAGAACTATATATGAATCGACATTTATGTCAACTAACTCTCTCGTCTCGCTAAAAATTTTAAAAGCTTCTTCTCCCTTCTTTTGTCTCACTAATCCAACCATCAAACCATTCATGGAGACCACATTCCTCTCAGTCATCTGCCCAAATATATTTCTTGCATGATCAGTCAATCCTAATCTTGCAAATCCACTTACTAGAGCACTACCTACATACAGATCATAAAGAAAGCCAGATTTGGTAACTCTGGCGAACATCTGCTCAAGCAAAGAACTTGAATCACTCGAAGAACAAGTCGCTGTAATTAAGCTACCGAAAGTATACTCATTAGGTTTTAAACTGGACCCCGAACCACCATTCCTTTGCATTCTTGCAAATAATTCGAATGCCAAATCCGCGTTTCCTCTTTGAGAACATACCGACATGATCGAGTTCCATGATATTGAATTTCTCAAATTTATCTCATCAAAAACGCCGAAAGCATCGTCGATGGAGCCCAAACAACCTCCATACATCGATATCAGCACATTTGACACCACCACATCCCCAGCATACGTAGTCTTCGAAACCATTCCATGAATTTGCATCCCGAGCCTGAGCCCTGATGGCCCGTACTCTTGGCAAGCCCGGAGAACACTACCAAACACATAGTGATTCGGCATCAACCCTTCCCTGACCATGCATCTAAAAAGCACCCACGCCTTCTCCGGCATGCCACTCTGCGCGTAGCCGGAAACCAAGCAAGCCCAAGTGACAGAATTCCTGCTCGGCATATCATCAAACAGCTTCTGCGCAGAACCCAGATCGCCAACTCTAGCATAGATACTGACAAGGGTATTGCAAAGAAACAAGTCATTGTCGAACCCGGATTTGAGCAACTGCAAATGAAGCTCCTTGGCATCGTTCGGGCAACGAGAGCCGCAGTAACGAGAGACCAAATGGTCGTGGAGTCGGGAGTTTGCAGGGAAAGAAACGTCCGGTGACGACTGCGGAGGGTGCGGCACGCGGTCCCGAGATGGTTCCGACGGGACGAGAGGTCGATGAGGTGGGCAGGCGAATTGAGCGAAGCTAAAAGAGTCGTCTTTGGGACAAATTGCAGCTGACGTACCGATGTTGCGGGGTGAAGAGATGGTGCCGCTCCGGGAGTTTCTATAGGAGTGAGTTCGTGTCAGCAAACAGCGAAACATGGCATTCTGTATTCAAGAACCGTTCGGTCTTGTTCATGCACCGCTTTTGGTCATTCACTCTATGTTTTGTCACGTCGGGTTAGTTTAGAAAAAAAGGACACAAATGGTTCATGAATTTTGATTCAACGTGCAATTGATTCCCGACCTTTTAATATATTCAATGTGGTTCTTGAATTTTAGCCCAATGTGTAATATTATCCCCGGACTTTCAATTTGTTCGATGTGATCCTGAACTTTTGAAATATGTTCAATCCAGTCCCTGGACTATATATATGTTGTCCCTCAACTTGAATTAATGGAAGGATAACATTAAACATTTTCATATAATTCAGGGACTAACTTAAATATGTATCAAAAGTTTGGGGATCACATTAAACAAATTAAAAATTTAGAACATTAGGCTAAAGTTCAGGAACTGGATTGAACAAATTAAAAGTTCAAACACCACATTGCACATTCCGCTAAATTTTAGGGACTATTTGTGTCATTATCCCTACATTTTATCAAGATTGAAGAGCAGCGATGTTTTCGATTATACTTAAGTCAGGTATACATAGCATCTCCAACACCAGAATAAGGTCATCTGTATCAAGATTAGAGATTCACTTTAGATAAGTTACTTTGTTAAACTCAAGAAACTACATCAAACAAGTTTTGGAATCAAGATTTCACCTTTACAACACGAAACGGCACCCATTTTACCAACTCAATCGACCCTTAAGATGGACCGATTCGAAATGCATTTCCCTTGACTGATCGCAAGCGTTGTATGCAGCCCTTCGACTGAAGTCATCGATCCATATTCAATAAGTAAAACGAAGTGTGCTTATATTTAAAACAAGGGATACTTCAAGAACTTATGGAGTGCTCAATGAATTTAACAACAGGATTCAGCTGTTTGATGAACAAGCACAAGCTTTCTTGTGGGAAAGAAGTTGCAGTTACGACAATGATATGAGGAGCTCAAAATACAATACAAATGGAACAGAATACGAGCAAATATTGAGTTCTGAACCAACAAATCTTTGTCCTGAGAGACAACAACGTAGTGAATCTAGAACAGCATCAGAAGTTGCTCGCTCACGATTCACAAAACCTCACTTGACAGATGAAGCAACACTGGAGATTCAATATTCACAAAAAGAGGATTAATGGCTCTTTGTAAATCACTTTTCCACTTGATCTATGCTACAAAACAGCGAGCCTCACACAAGCCATCAGCCTGAGAAGTCGAGAGATTTCTTCTGCCACACAAGAAGATTCCATAGGCCGTCATTCTGCGCATGATCGGTTTTGACATATACTTACATCTCCAAAATACGAAACATAATATATTGTCATGGCGAATATCAGAGAGCAAAAGACGCTGCAACTGCAATCATGAGCAAAACAAGATGCAAGCAAAAGTTTCCACAACCGCCCATATACAACTTCCTCAGCAACATAGACTGATCGTAACAAATTCAGGAAAAGCACATCTTTCGAATTATATAGCCAGAATAAGAACCAACAGTCATAACTTCAGAGCTGTAATGCTCATCAAGATTCGAAATGATCCCAAATAATATGCTTTTCCTCAATAAACCATGGGACAACCTTATTCAGCTCCAATGGCATTATTCCAAGTAACTGAGAATGAAGATCAAGTACTGCAACTGATCCAACATACCCTAGTTATCCATCATAGTTGGATGCAACAGAAATGCAAGTCCAAGTGAATTTCCCACAGCAAAGTACGAGGGCCACCAAGTTTTCAGTTAAACTTGAACCTCAGAAATGAAGCTGGAAAAGGAAAATCTGACTTCAATATGGACAAACGTTCAATGCAAATGATCAGGCAAAACTCTGGATGCAGTAAGCAAAATTTCCTAGAGAACCAAAGAAACATGTTCACAAGTCAACCACTACACGATGAAACAGGCACAATTAGGATATTCCGGTCCATTTCCTGATCACATGGACCACATGAGCCATCCTTGCTTACAGTAGTATTCTTCTGCCTCTCCTTAACGAAAATTCCCATAACTACTTTTCCTTTCCCTTTTCTCTGAAAGGAAAAACCTGCATTTATAAGTAATGCATCGCAACAGATCCTTAGAGAAAGAGCCTTCTCTTGAAAGCATTTCTGATGTCCTGGTGACTTATATTGAGATGATAGAGATGAGCTTCAAATGCCACGTAGACTGAACATTAGGTACAGACGACCAAAGAAAAGCGAAAGGGACACAAAAGATTGGTACATGCCAAGAAGCTAATACAAAAAGCCGATCAATTTGAGAAAATTTATTACCGAATAATTGAAGTATCTATTAGATACACAGAAATGCTATGCGTATTTCTATTGATAACTCATCTAGAATAATTGGAGCCTCATGCTACAGCAACAGGATAAATCAAAAGATTGGCTATTCAGGAGGAAGCTGTCTCTGTGATTTTATACATGCGAGCAAACTCCAAGCATAACTGACGGTCCCTCTCATCACCCCAGCCTCCCCAACCCTTGAACCCGGCCTTATAACCTGGTTGATGCTTATGGACATGCACATTCCATTCAGATTTGATATTTGCAACCTTATCTTCATCATTTACTTCAACGTTCACAACCCCATTATCAACACAAGCAGTTTGCTCGCCCTGGCCTTGATGTAACCCACACTTCCCAAAGTGAACAGCACTAGTCCTAGGTCCTCGCAATGAATACACTGGAGCCCCGAAGGAGGGATAAACTGTACTCCACATCGTAATGTCCCAGTTGTAATCATCAAAGTAGCAGAACTCTTTAGCCTTTTTATGGATTTTCCTCCAGACAGTTCGGTTGAAGGAATAACCTACATTACCCATCCTCTCGGCGATCAAACTTTCCCCACCTTCCCCCTTCGACTTCACATCAGAAGGTGCTAAGTTTGCAGCATAGCAATCAGGACATTTCTTAGACTTCAGTGATGTGAGGATCTGCAAGTTGCGGTATGCATTTGGGAAAATAAAATGGTCCTCTTCTATGAAAAGAATATGGCCAGAATGCCCCCGAGTTTCCTTCAGTCCATCCCACACCGCATTCATCATCCACCACCAATGATGCTTCAGTGAGACAACTTTTGGCGATCGGTGATTTCCATACTGATCAGGATTTCCTTCACAATGCTTCTTCGCTGCATCCTTCTTACCCTTACAGTCTTTAGGTGATACACCAGGGAAGCCACTTGGAAAAATGTGAGGCGAATAAGGAGAGAAAATTTGTTTCACTTGGCAAAATCTTATACCTTCCACAATCTTGTTCATCTCGTCAAAGTACCCATCATGACTAACCATCAGCAGAGTCTCACCTATACCTTTTACTTGCGATAAGCTCTTCACGACTACTTGGAGGTACTGAGGCCGATTATGAACGTACAACACTATAGTTATGTGATCCTTTGCCAAAGTGGGATACAGATCTCTGTTTCTGGGAGGCAACAAGTTGCGCATTTCCAATTGAATCGACAGCTCATTTTGCTTAGGGAGGTTGAGATTCCCCCCCAAATGAGAATAACTATAAGTATGATTCGTATCGTCGGCAGGCTCCATGGCGATGTTTGAAACCGGATTTGCTCTCAGGCAAAAAACCACAACAGAGACAAACATGAACGTAAATACAACTACAAACACGAATCGGCAACGACCCGCCTCCTTGGTGCGGGGTTTCTTGCAAGTGGCCATCAATTCGCGAGCTAATTGAAAACCAAACACCTTGCGGGACAGCTAAAATACAATAACCGTGGTTTCAATCCGTAACCAGAAGCACACTAAATCTCCAAGTCTACAAGTCAATGTCTAATACCAATGATCAGATAAGCATCAGCCCAACGAATTGCATCTAACCACTGAGCAGCACACTGAAACAGCAATTGGGTCAAGCACCAGAACCTCCCAAAATGATCTTGAACTCAAGATTTGGGGGGCGGGGGGGGGGGCATCCACACCAACCCCAAGAGCTCCCGAGCCTTCACATGAAGTAAAGAAAGACAGCTTTTTGGAGCTCAAACCGGCGAAGACCAGCCACGAGAGTCACAAGCTCACGCGAGAGGAGATCAAAGGGGAAAAGGGTAGTTCAGCCCGAGCGAACCAGATCAGAAATTTCGAACCTTTGAGACGAAAGCCGAGCTCGGTCGACAGTTTGACCGACTTGGAAGACACGGGACGAACGCAAGAGGAGATCAGAAGGGAAAGGTGGGGAAGCTGGCGCCCCTGTGGCAAGAGCAGGCGTGGAACGAGGAAAGGTAATGGTGGACAGAAGTGGCTAGCAAAAGTCTTCGATCTTTGCTTCCATTGACTGACACATCAAGGCAGAGAGAGAATCCGACCGAGAGAGAGAGAGAACTGCAATTTGTTCCAACTTCCAGCACTTAATTTCCCTTTTGACATTCGTGGAATTTTTTTAAAAAATTATTAATAGTAGCTTGCATTTTACATTTCCTTTCGTGACTTTTGTATAGAGGACTTAATTTCCCTTTCTGTCGATCGTAAATTCTGTGGATCTATAACTCGTAATTTCCTTAAAAAGAAAAGGCAAACTATGTAGGCCAATAAGTGATTTTTTTTTCCTAATTTCATTTGGCGTACATAATTGTCTTTTCTTATAGTAGCTCACACTGTATAAGGATGGTTCCATGGTAGAACTTAAAACTGGAGAACCGAACCGATGGGAACCTGTTCGATTTTAGGTTCCAAAGTTTGTAAGGTATGTTTCAGGTTCCTGATTTCAAAAATTGAGAAACCTGTTTTGACAGGTAGGTTCCAGGTTCTAGGTAAGTGAAACCTGAAAACTGGAACAAGTTTTTGTGTTTTTCTCGGTCTATATCTTTGCAAAATCCCGCGGTATTTCATGGCGCCCGGTAATAAGTGTCTAATCTTGAAACATTAGTTTGAACTTCCATCATATGACTAAGACTTTTAATTTGTTAATGTTTTATATTCTTCGTGTGTATAAATATAAATTATAGTTAATGGATTGTAGTAGCAAGTGGTGGTCATTAAATGTGATAATTCACTACAATCATTCAATTAATAATACGGGTGGAACTTGGGTAGACCCTAAAATCTGTGGCAAGGTAGGCTTCAGGTTCCAAACAATGAGGACCATGTTCCAATAGTAGGTTCCACGTGGAACTTATTCAGAACCTGGAACCACTCTCCCCTACTTATATATAAAATTTCCTTTTGTAATTTTTCCTTAGAGGGCGCAATTCCTTATGATGGTCACAAATTCTCCACTCCAATGATTCGTAATATTCTAGAAAAAATAATAACCTATATAAACTGATAGTAAAAATTTATATGTTATTGGTAGTTATATATCTAATTAACTTTCATTTTAAGGTTCATAAAATTCTACAACCTATTTTCCAGTAATTTTCCTTAAATTCATCATAACTTTTTCTTAATCAAGGGTAAATTTGATCATCTTTGCGTCCGTAACTTGTCCTTAAAGTTAGTAAGTTACGACATAAATCGGTTTTTATAAAGCAGGTCTAATGAGACACATTTTTGCCCTTTTTACCCAACGATCCACGTTGAGGATCGGTCCCGTAAAAACACTTACGGACCATAGAATTTCCAGTAGGACTAGTATCCAAGTCTAATCAAACGTATTTACAATTAGTCAAAGACAATGATTGGACGGTCTAATTAATGAGTGTCATTACTTCAAAATAAAGGAAAAACCCGTGCAAGTTAGAGGAATGATTATGGATTTATATAATTTTTCTATCGTCTTAACACATCTATAAAAATAGATGATGAAAGGAGTGTTTTTGAAAAATGTATGGCGGGGAGACTAGTGAGAGTATAAATTTTTAGTGCGGGAGGGCTTTCATTCTTGTTACCTACTCCCCATTTTCATAGTACCACTCTTTCTAATGTATTCTTATCATAATACCATTTCATATATCTATTTGAAGTTTACTTTTGGAACTTTTATTACTTTGATTTTCAATTTTTTTGGTTTGAGGTCTTTTATCTTTAATGCACCCCTATAATATTGGTTCATCTATCTATCTTAATTATCTTTCCATCAATTTGTTTTTACTTTTGTTTTTGTTTTTATGGTTATTTTGATTTTCACATTTCAATATGTAATATGTTTTATAAGAGGATATGATTCAACTTGAGTCGAATCAATATGTGTTATGTATCTACTATTTAGTTAACATTGATCATTCATCCATCAGATTTATTATCTTTACTCTTTTTCAATTCTCATTAGATGTTTTTTATTTATGTATACTGCGGATGGAATAGAAACAAATACCTTAGCAAAATCCATATCTACTTGTATGGGTAAATAATATATATGAAATTTTTTTTTAAAGTTTAGTATTTTCACATAACACGCCACGCTGCAATATATACTACGTTTGGTTCCGCAACACTTGGTGTGCACAAATTGGTATTGTATAGGCCTATTTGGTTTTAGCTTTTGGGAAATGTATTTGGCAAAATGCAAAGATCTTTGAGCTAAAAGGGTTTTCCGAAATGCAAGTAGTGTTTGGTAATGTGTATTTTAAAATCACATTTGAAAGCAACTTTGGCTTAAATACCGTTTGGTAAAAATTATTTGTAAAAAGGCTTTTGCTGATATTTAAAAAAAAAAAAGCTGGCGACCGACCACCACCGTCGGTGACCACTGCTGGCCAGCCTCGCCTGACCTCAGGCGGCGGTCACCGTGGTCGCGCGACCCTCAGGTGACCACCACCTGGGGGTTGCGCGACCGCAACCTGGGGTCGCCGGGCCTCGAGTGGTCGCTTGGGTTGCGCAACCCAGGCCAAGAGTTGCCTGGGTCGCACAACCCCGGCGATGCCCGAGGTCCGGCAACCCCAGGCGGCGGTCGTCGGGGTCGCGCAACCCCCAGGCGGCGGTCGCCGGGGTCGGGCTAGCCCTCAGGTGGCGGTCGCCGGACCTCGGTTTGGGGAAGATGAACAGTGTCGATGATCAGTGTCGATGAACAGTGCAAGTTGCATTCCGAAAATGTAATTTCCCAAAGCACCTCCGGTGGAGCATTAGCCAAAGATCCCTTGGGGAGCATTTCAAATGAAATTGCATCTCTCCAAAGTGAGTAAAAAAAATTGCCAAATACTATTTGTATTTGGTCAAGGAATTTTAGAGCCCAAATGAGCATTCTAAATGCTGAATCAAACGGGGCCATAATTAGGTATATACAGAGTCGAGAGAGGAGAAAAATTGGGAATGCAAGTTACAAACTTGGAGTCACAAACTGAAAATGCCATTTGTTGTCTGTTTCAGACTGGTGACAGCAAACGCGCCACTTAGGCAACTCCCATATCACTTATAGATAAGGTCAAATAAATATCAAGAATTATCAAGAAACCAGATATCGTGCAACTGCAAGAACAAGCACAACCACACCCATAACCAGTGACATGTATATCATGCGATGAAGGCAAAGAGATATATGAGATTGACTCAGAAGCTTTTGATTCCTCAGAAATGGCAGCTCAGGCAGCTTCATGTACTTCGCTCAGCACCAAGATCTCACTCCCGTTGAAGCCGTCGTTCACCATCGCTCTCCCTCGCTCTCTCGCTCCATCGGATGCGAGAAGGGCGCAGCGCAAGAGATTCCAGATTCATGCCGAGTTAGGTAAGAAAGAATGGTGGTGAAGAAGGAATCCTTTTCTGTGGTATTCTCTTTGTTTCTCCAGATGGGTACTAAGATATTTGCTTCTTGACGTGTTCTTGGTGCTTTTTAGGGGGAGGTGAGGGTGAAATCAAGAAAGGAGGGAAGAAAAAGTTCATAACCAGAGAGGAAGAGCCTCAACAGTGAGAATTATGCCATTGTTTGCGTTTGTCTTTGTCGCTCTAAAATCTTTGACTTTGAATCCATTGAGATGAGATTTTTAGTGCTGCTGAAAAAATGCTGCAGATACTGGCAGACGGCAGGAGAGAGGAAGGGCGAGAATCCTATGAAGACGCCCTTACCGTACATCATCATTTTCGGCATGGCGACGCCCTTCGTCATCTTGGCCATTGCTTTCGCCAATGGTTGGATTAAGGTACCTGTCCGATGATCTCGCTGGACACCGTGTCCACCTCTGTGATTCCCACGGCTGGAGTTCTTAATGCTACTTGACATCCTTGTTAAATGTTTGAAGACCATCTTGCTTTTTCTCTGAGGATCCGTTTTGTCCAGGGTTTTATTTCACATAGTCAAACAGTTTGTTTCTCCATGATATGTTTCAGATGTAAGAGTATTTGGATGTAGAAATTGCAGCAGCAGCCAAACATTGTCGTAGGCTTAACCCTGGTTGAGCGGAATTGTATATCAGAAGAGAGTGAAATGAAATTAAATAAGACAATTTCTGCTTCATCCTTACATTGCTTCCGCAAGCTTATTGTCGTGCTCAGCTTAAGTAGAAAGTATTTGCACTTCTAAAATCCAAGGAAGTAGTTACGTAGCTTTATTCGTCAAGTTGCGAAGAAATTATACAAGCTGTCAAATGCTTTGTAAGCACTTTCCCTCACAAACTAAACAGCTTATCAGGTTAGTATTTCGCCAAAAAAATGTAAATATGTGAAAGAATCCGGCCGTCTCTTTCATTCGTAATCACTTGTCAAATTGAACGTAGCAACTGAATCACCTAAACGCACCATGAAATTTGTAGACAACAAAACTATGTCAACTTCTTGAAAATCTGCATAATGCAGATTAGTTGGAAGAGCCACATAAGTGAATTGCTAATCCAAAGTTGAATTGGCGAAAAGAAGAGCATAAACTAGAATGGAAATGCATTCATAAATACGCGTACACACGACACAGCAAATGCTTTCTAATGATCAATGCACCCGGCTGTTGTGATTTTTACCTAAAAGCACTTGTTCATCCTTAAACATAATCCATGACTGTAAAAATTTTATCAACAAAACTCAGACGCCTCTATCCAGGTCCTGAAATAAAAGGAGGAAGGTTTCATCTTTCTTTCACCTGTCTATAGGAGGGCTTGTAAAGAATCACTGTCACATACTTTTCAAGAAAACGGTGTGTGGACCCAAAGGCAATGGCCTGACCCCGGTCGCAGCTTTTCATGTACAGATGGTTCAATGCAACATGCCTAGGCCTTGTCGGAAATTGATAACAATCTGTATTCGACGACTCGTTCAACAGAGTTCTATGCAATTGAGGAGGTAGATCGGGCGGAGGCTTGCTAAATTCGAGGTCAATTATGGAATTTCTGCTGTAGCTTGCATCAGGGGAAGGAGGATGCATGACCTCAGATTCGCTTTGACAGGCTTCAGCTGCATACTCCTGCATGGGGACTATGAGTGAGAAGCCGCAAGGGATGAACCAGAGTATAATTGAAACACATGAACAGAGAATCAATTTACCATTGACGAACATTAGTAAGTAAAAGCATAAGAAACACGCAAAGAGCTCCTCAATAACGAGCATGTCCGCAAAGAAGAAGATGAAGCCTCATGCAAGCCCCCAAGAGACGAATTGAAAAGATGAAAAGAACTTCTAAGAGGGAAATCCTTCTCATGTTTAGGTTTATCACAAATGCTCATTCCTCACATACTATTAAAAGCAATATAAGTTAAAGGGAGAAACGATCAAGCTGATGCCTTCATATTCCGAGCAAATCTTTTCAATGGCATTGCATACTAAAAGGCTAATAATTTTGTATTAGCTTAGCTTTTCAATTTTCAAGTCAACTGTTTCAAACAGGAACCACATTTAATCTCATAAATGTTTCAATGCCAGTTATCCGGGGTCTTCTTTCGTATTGCAATCATAGAAAACCGATCATCTATAGTCTCCGACTCTGATGGAGAGGATGATTCAGTACACAAAATGTTTGTCAACGTGAAATTCAATTCAAGTGTAAAACGAGAATATTCAAGCAAGAAACAGTGTTCAAATTGTTTTATCAACATGTGTGTAAATCACATCTGAGTTTTATGGTCACTAGAATACATGTTTGTTCCCAAACCTTTATATATCTCATACTTTGGTCCTCATCATTGAATTTCAACATCGTTATCCTTCAACTACTGAAATAGTTGAGAAAATTAACGTCTTTAATACTTTTTTTGGACTATCCTTTCACAAATGTCACTCCAATCAGGCTGATCATGTCTTTAAACTTTCCTCAATGAAGAATGGTCCACGTCAAGAGTCTGCTTATTCTTCATGGACAATTTATTCACAAACCTTAATCCATAACATGTTTGAGTGTGGAAATATATTGTGAGATAACAATAATATCACTTTCCGATTCAGTTGCGAAAAACCCTCAAAATGAAATGATAACATGTAGAACCAATCAGATTGTTCGGTCAGGCGCATTGAAAACTCGAGGATCAAAATGTCTACAATTCAATTCAAGGTAATGAAGTACTTCGTGGGAAAAAATGTGAACCGAAAATTATCTACCCTAGTAGCTGCTATTATTGAAAAATGTACTAGATCAAATATAAGGCTTTAAGGCGACATCCAATGAGGCCCCCTGAAACCATAAAACCAACTACAGTTACTTAAGAAGCAGTCATCTGGCGTGAAAAGGAAGACTTGAACATGAAGCGTTGTCCTTTAAGAAGAAAAAAATTGTATTGCCAGTTGAAGAGACTGCATTTATTTTTCTGAAATTACTTGCAATTAGCTTAGCCAGAACTTCTGCAACTTTTATATACTTTATGCATATACACAGGAAAAATTTGGAGACCATTCTTTGGTTATTCCAATATTGCTTCAGTCAACATTTTGGCAAAGATATTAGATCTTCTTTGGTCAAAACCTAAAAGATGTCATCTTATGTTTGCTGATGAAAAATTGCAGAAGGCATAAGGAAGGAATGTCTGTTAATAAAGCTAAGATATTAGGAGTATTTTCCTTTTTCATTTGTCATATGCTCTATCGCTGGGCAACCACAAGTCAAATTTTGAGTTTATTGGTTAAAACCCTTTCACCATCTGCAAATCATGACCTGTTTCAGAACTGTCATGACTGATTTGTGCAAATAAGACAGTACTGCAAGATATGTAACTGGAAGATTCATGGAGCATAAAAAGATAATCATGTGCTTCTAATCATACTTGACCGATTAATGATAGCGAAGACTCTCCATTTCCTTCTAAAGGTAAGCTTTGTCATTTATATGTAAATTTCAAATGCTTCTAAGCATTGCGAGCATAGAGTGGGTTAAAAGACCGTGACATATCATCAATTAAAAGTGAAAGTCGTGGTTAAGTATGTAAACCGTACCTTCACATCCAATATATTGTAGGCTGCCCGTGGTTCATGAAAATCGCAAGGCAAATCTGGTGCACACTTGACCTGTCCATCTACAACGAAGTGATAGTGGTAAACACCACAAGGAAGAACCTTCAAGATGATGAAATCTTGGCCTGATCTCTGCATCGGTTCACTGATAGAAACAGAACTTTTCCATTAGACAAGAATTAAAAAGCATGAGACCAATTAAATCAATAAAGAGAAACATCTAAACCAACTGAATACGTTTTCTCCCAGTTGTCCCATGATCCCTTAACCGCCACTTGCTTCCCTCCATGATTCCAAGTAATCATTACCGGAGTTCGTCTCTCATGGCAGGTAGCCTCATAATTCATTTTCCAAAGCAAATCAAGACTTTGATTTGCCATCATGTCAGCAGGCTTGGGAAAAGGAACCGCCGGGACCTAAAATAATCAGTTCTTTTTTTCAATGTGGGAAATATGCATCTCTTCAATAGACCTCAAAAGATGCAGGCAATTAATGACCTAGAGGAATGCAAATTCCAGCTTTTTCCCTGAAAACACGCTCTGCAGGAGAGTAACTTTGACTTAACATACACATTCTTCTTGATGTAGATACTTAACAATTAGGTGATGATTTTCCAAAATGCAGATCGCCATGCTTCATATAGTTTGTAATAATAAATGACCCCATACTTGCAGAAAAGAACAGAGCAATATAAAATAACTTGCAAAAGTGACCAAGTGAACATACTTATTTCTTCCCTGTAAGACAAGTAATCAATAATTGAAAGGCTTGTATAAGAAGGATCTCGAGCTAAGGAGTAGATATGTTCGAACGTCTTGTCAAACAAAATGCAAAGCTCAGATGATTTTCAAAGCTCAAAAAACAATATTGATCATACTAACCTGATTCTTTTGCTAACTAACTAATGACCTTATCCGTCACAACGAACGACTCTATCTATCCTATCCGCAAAAGGAATAGGAAAGCTCCCTCGCAAGCGATATATGCAGTGATTGGCCCTCTAGAGAGAAGATTTCAAGAGAGGAGATCTCCTTTCTATGTATGAACCTCGGTAGAGGCATCAGCTGCCGTTGAGTCAGTAGATGGAAAAACTAACAATCTATCAATTTTTGCTCGATAAGGATGACAGCCAATTTTTCCAACCTGCTAGGCATGAAATCCAGGAAACATAAACAGATCATGCAAGATAAGCCAATTTGAAGATTCCCCGAATTCTCCAAAGAAGAACACAACCCAAAAAGAAAGAAAGGTGCAATAAATAGAGAATCACTGGATCCCGAAGTAAACATGAAAGTGGGTTCAAACAGTAAAGCGCTACAAGGAGGTGCTCGTACCGAGTGCTCGGGATAAACGTGACTTCCACCATGTGAACTCTCCACATACTGTTCATATCCTCCAGAAGTTCCTTCTCCATCACTTTTACCACTAACATTGCCCATCACTACTGATTGAAGGAAAATAACAAAAAAAAACTAACAGCTATCATGCCAAATATGAGTGTAAAGATTGCTGCTCTATGAAACGCACAAACAAATAAATGGCCAACCAAATGCCAAAGAAAATAGAAAAACCCCATTAGAATGTCAGACACCACAGATTAACCGACACCAACAGAAGAAAATCAGAGGAATGAAGTAGCAGTAGAGAAGAGTGAAGAAAACAAACAAGAAAAAAAAAGCAGCTTTGTGGAGTTACATAATGACCAAAAACCATCAGTTTCTTCAAGCACGGTGTCTGAAAGAAACAGTGACCCATCGGTTGAAACACAAAACAGGACAAAACCCATATTGGAAAAGAAAATAAAGATTGAAACTTGAAGCAAAGCGGGCATACCCATCACCGTGAATCAGAATCGGAAGAAGCCACCAGCAGAAACTAGCTGAAGAGGAGTCACCATTGCTCTCCCTGCAGCCTTTGAAATTTACAGACTACTTCTGTCTTCTGTCTCTCCCTCTCAGGAGGGGGAAAAAGAAAAGGGAGAAAAAAACAGGTCCCTCTCTCTCTCTCTCTGTGAAAAGTGTAATTTTATTCTCCAATGAGTTTGGAAGATCCTGCAGTGGACAAATCATGTCGGTTCAGCAGGGGGACCGCGGATGTTGTCATCGCCACCAGTAACATAACTTCTCTATATACAGTTAATACTCTTGATAAAAAAAAATACAGTTAATACTGAATAACATCATTTTTCCACGGTCCATACATTATTTACCGACTTTTTCAAGCTCTCCTACTCATACTTTTCAGATCCAGCCATTAGAAAACTGTCAACCAATGTGCCTAAACCCTTCCCTTTACTGGACCGTCCAGCAAAATTTAGAAATAATATGCAGAAGACAAGAGAATGCGTCGTCGACACTAAAATTGATTCTCTAATGGGGCCAACCGTCTTAAGTCTTGATCAATAAAAGTAGAGGTTGCATATAAAACCGCTTGGCGCGTGAGCACCTACCCGAGTTTAATCTGCTCAAAAGTCTCGCCGCAACCAAGTAGGCCTAGATGATGGGCCGAGCAATCTTATTTACTTAGATGTGTAGACCTCATGAGGGATTTATCCCGATTTATATCGTGAGATTTCCATCGATATTTGCCGGTGGCTTTGTTTTTCAAACTTGAGATGCACGGATTTCGTAAAAACTCGCTAATTGTCAAAGTCAGAGGGATGAATACAAGTGCTCATTTTCCGGGCACGTCAAAATCTGATAGAAATTTGTTGTCAGCTTGGAGTTCATGTCAAGGCACGGGACACAGACCAATCTCTCCAAATCGATCATGATTGGACAATGGCTTGACTAAACGATCACACAACCTGTACCCCAAAAGAATAATCACATAAGCTTGTCAATTGAGTGCGATCGGTTCACCAAAATGAGAAGGAATATAAATTTCTCGAATCTCATTTTCACTTAGTACTTTCTTTTCCTTGAATAATCATAAATTAGACCTGACGGGCATCGTAACATAAACAGAAGAAAATAAAAAACATAAAAAATAGAATTTTTTACGCATACTGTTATTTTAGACAAAATATAAGCACATATTTTTCGCTTTTTCCATATTAGCAAAAAATTCTTTTTTTCCTTTCTTTTTTTATTTTCTTTTCCCTTTTTCTTCTTTCTTGCTCAACTAGCATTGATTGGCATCTTTGGTATCGCTCATCGCCGCCATCTCAACATCGATGCTCGACAAGTCTCCCCTTGCCATCACGAGCATCGTAGCCGCCCCTCGATGCAGTAACCAATCACCGTTTTTCCTGCCAATATATCTATATTGTTAAGTCAAAACATTCTTTTGTCTCACTTTTCATAAGTTTAAGTAATGTCCATGACACTTCCCTAGGATGACGACGAATTAGGAACATTGTTACCATGAGATAAGTGATTAATCTATGCTCTTTTAGCCAAATAAAAATGATTAATCTATACTCCTGACTATTACTCACATTTTCCGTAACCGCTTTTCTCCACCTATACGCGATGTTCGCATTTCATCCATAATATGGTAATGCTAAATAAATTTAATAAGGGTTACTATCACGAAAAAACCCCAAACTGGTACACCTGTAATAATTTTACCTCAAACTAATTTTTTGACCACGAAAAACACCAAACTGGTACACCTGTGACAAATTTACCATAAACTAATTTTTTAACCATAAAAAACCCCGAAATGGTACATTTGTGACAAATTTACCCTCTTTTAGTTTCCTTTAAATTGAATTAACACCACAAAAAATCATAAACTAATACGCCTATGACAAACGGAGGGTGAAACATAAAATTGGTACATCCGTCAATTACCGCGTGTCATTTAACAAAGCAATTTGATAGTAAAATTTAATGGAAATAAATTGAGGGTAAATTTGTCGCCGGTGTACCAGTTTGAGGTTTTTTATGATCAAAAAATTAATTTGGGGTAAAATTGTTACAAGTGTACCAGTTTGGGGTTTTTCACGGTATTAATCCATTTAATAAATAGAACTTATGATATTAATGCAAAAGTACTTGCATATGCATGCGCAGCAGGAGAACTGCTCTAATTATTCTAAAATAGAAACCAAAAGTATGAGGAAATTCATTCAGAAGCACCGTGTCTGACTTTGAAGCATGTGAATATTCATCATCTTAGTATATATATGAAAAAAAGGGCAATTGTCCAATCAATCCAAAACTTATTATGCATATATCAATTCAGTATTAAATTTTTAAATTTTGTCAATTTAGTCCTAAAATTGTTTCGCGGAAAATGTGACATTTTATGAAAAATGTTTTCTAGGAAGTTATTTTCCGAGTAAAATAACAATATTTTACAATGTTTGGCTGAAACTTAAAAATGAACTGAAATTTTTTTTTCATTGTTTGGTAAGGAAAATCAAATCAGATTTTCCTAAATAAGCATACATTTTTCGGGGGTTAGTGACTTGCAGATAGGCAAATGGAAATCCGGGTACGAGCACTAGGTTCCCGAGTCCAGCCTCCATGGGCCCTAACCTACGCGTTGGGGACTTGAGCCTAGCCCGAGCATGGGCTCTGGGGTCTTGATCCCTGCCTCGATGGGCCCGGGTCTGGAGCATCGAAGTCCCGGGCCTGATCTCGATGGACCTGAGTGTGGGCGCCTGGGTCTCGAGCTTGGCCTTGATTGATCCGAGCGAGCGCTAGTGTTCCAGACCCATCCCCGTGGCGCTAAGGACCCCTGCATGGGCGCTGGGATCTTAGGCATGGGCTCTGGGTTCTCTGACATGGGCACCGAGGCCTCGAGCCTGGCCTTGATGGACACAAGCACGGGTGCCAAGGACTCGGGCTTGGCCTCGATAGACCCTAGCTCGGGCGTCATGGTCTGAGGCTCGGCCTCGATAGACATGGGCGTGACCTGGATGGATACGGGCCTGGGCGTCAAGGACCCGAGCACTAGCACCAAAGTCGCAGTCCTCACCTTGATAATCCCAGTCCTAGGTGCAGGGTCTCGGGCTAGGCATTAGAGGTCAGGGTACGAGTATCAGAGTCTCGGGCTCGACTTATATGGACCTGGATCAGGGTGCAATGGAGTTGGGCAACGGTACCGAAGTCCTAGGTCCAACCAAGGGGACTGGTGTCCCGAGCCCAACCTCTTTGAACCCGAGCCCAAGCACTGGGGTTCCGGGCCTTGCATCTTTGGACCAAAGCTCGGCCTCGATGGACCTCGGTGGACCTAGCCCTAGCCTAAGGTTGTTGTTAAGGGCCCGAGAACAAGCGTTAAGGTTCCTATGCCCAAATGTACTGTTTCTGATCCGAGCATTGATATCTAGTCATATTTTGGAAAATGATTTCCAATTTTTTAAAGAGGATATCAATTTCTTGAATTTAAGTATAGATTTTTCGGTGACTAGGAAAATATTTTCCATTAACTCATTTTCCTAAAGGATCTAAACGCCAGAAAATGAGGATTTTCCAGGAAAATGTTTTCTGCAAAACAAATGAAACCCAGACCTTTGCACGAAATTCCAATATAATCGTTCCGGCCAATTTTCGTGGGAAATTGCTAACATGGTTGAGTGCCACGTAGGACAATTAGTGATGATGGATCGCAATGTCAGGAATTTCCAAAAAAAATTAACCGAAATTAATTTATGTAATTTCCCATCTTCATCTCGTTTCTGTTCCTTCATGTCTGAACCAGTCTAATGAACCATGAATAACACCTGTTTCTCGAGAGCCAAAACTAATTTATGTAATTTCCCTTCTACTTCTCGCGTCTGTTCCTTCATATCTGGACCAATCCAGTGAACCGTGAATAGCACTTGAGAATATTGCTAATTTTTTTTTTTGCAATAAAAAGGAAATCTGTAGCACATTATAGGAGTGATTAGTTCTAGGGTGGATGCGTTCTCACCTTGGAATCGGAAACCAGATTAGTAGGATTGGTTCCCAATTTGTGGAACCAAGAACTAACCCACCTGGTCCTAAAATTGGACCGGACTGAAATCGGCCGGTCAAGTTTTCAAGTGGATTTGGGAACTGGCATTACTTAATTTTTTTTTTCTATTCCCCGCAAGACTGCTGCCGCTGAGAGAGTTGAGAGAGAAGAAGAAAGAAAGTTTCATCTCTGGGTGTTTTTGATTAACTCTAAATAGAAAGTAAGAGAAGAAAAGCAACAGAGTGTGACCACTTTGACATTTTGGCATTGCAATATGGACTCCAAGGACATGCTCCTTCACACCATACTCTGTACCTATTGTGAGGCGAGAGTCGAGACTCGAGATGGTGTCGAGTAAGAGGGATAGAGGGAGGTTTCGAGCTCGAGAGGGATTGAGAATGGGCGAGATAGAGCAAGATTGAGAGGGACTGAGCGTGAGGCTTGAGCGGTAAGATGAGAATAGGCAATTAGGGTTTTGAGAAGAATGCGAAATTACACACACAACCCCCAGTATTTTATAATAATAAATATTATAAAATAAAATATAAAAAAGCTATCGGTCCGGGTTGTTCGGTTCACACTTGGAACAAGGAATAGGACCGATTTTCACTTATTCCACATTTTAGGAATCGGAAACCACCTAAAATCTGCCAGTTTGGTCCAATTCCGATGCTCACCCCTAGCACATAATATAGCATGTTCACAAGGAAATATGGAAATTGACCTTAAAAAAAGAAAAGAAAACTACAACACTTTTGTTAAATTAAGATGTTATATCGTGAATCGAATCAAATCTTACGATTTGATAAAATATTAAAAACTAGTATTTTGATTTATATATAGTTAAATACTTTGTAAATAATATCATAAAATATGTAATGTTGAGTAAGATTTATGATCTATAAAAAGGAAACCTTAATTTCGAGTACATGTGATAATTTCTAGGTATAAAAAGATATAATTTTTTTTATTTTTTATTAACATGTATTTAAATATAAATTACAAATCTTTATGAAATTTTATTTGTTATCTTGTTATAAATGGCAGAATTTATTATCAATTATTTCGTAACTGTAAATAACTTAGCATGCGTCGTAAAACATGACAAAAGTGAAATCATTTGATAAATAAACA